ACGCATCTAAATGGTGTAGCTAACGTAAACGCATTGTGCAGATCAAGGAACGTCGAGAAGAAGGGAGGGGAAATGGTCAACCGAGCCTGTAAGGGTGGATCGCGGCAATCCCTGAGACGATCATCGGGTACTCCAATATTAATCTCCACGAGTCTTGTCCTATGGAGTAAGCTTGCACCTAGCCATTGGTGACCAGGCTAAGTTGAGACATCTGTTACCCTTCTTACTAGTACATAGGTCCCTCTCTCCCCATCGTTTCTCGCTCAACCCTGTTCATCCATCCGTCTCTTCGAACATCTCACCTATACTCCATATTACCTTTGCCGCAGTCCCTACAGCCACTTATACCACATAATCAAGATGCGTTTCCAGGCCACCGTTCTTGCCGTTGCGGCTTCGCTTGCCTTCGTTGGCGCTCAGGATTTGAGCGGTATCCCGCAGTGCGCTGTATGTTACCTTCTCCACATTCATTGTTGATCCGATGCGATTTCGGTAATCGCAACGAGATAGCTCCACATCTTTTGAGCCGACTGCAGTGCATCTTTATTCGAGACGTATAACTAACACAATAGTTAATAGATTCCCTGCTTCGTCGCCGCTCTCCCTGGCTCCAACTGCGGCGTCACAGACACCAAGTGCCAGTGCACCAGCGGTCGTTCCGCCATTGAGAACTCTCTCCTCACTTGCGCGCCCGAGCGATGCCAACCGGCTGAGATTTCCAGTACGTTGATACCTCTATTTGCATCCATCCCATGTCCATACCTAATCGTATCCTAGGCCTTGCACCCGCCGTCTCTTCCCTCTGCGGTGCCGCCGGTGTAACCCTCTCCGACATTCCTACCGCAGCAGCATCCTCCGGCTCCGCTGCCGCCACCGGTTCTGCATCCACCAGCCAGGTTAGCGGAAGCCGCACCATGAGCGGCTCTGGTTCCCCCACTGGCTCCCAGGCCGCTGAGCAGACCGAGAACGCTGCCGCAGGCAAGCTTGCCAGCTACGGTGTTGTCGCCATGGGTATGGCCGCTGTTTTCGGATTGTAGAGAGATTTTGGCTTTGGGGGGGAGAATGAAATATCGAGATGGCGCGTCTTGGTAAATTAAGATTTTGTAATTCAGCGGTCGCTTATACGTTGTTGGACCGCACAGATACCGTCTTGTTCGTTTGAATTGTCGTATCCTAAATACCTTGCGTCAAAGCATTGTGATGCCAATTGGTTTCGTATGCTGTTCAGGCAGCTTCCAATGCACTAATCCACTTGCCAGACCATATTGTGAACTCATCATCTTCACCATTCCAACTCTGTTTGACCAGCTCAATCGCGCTCTTAGCCTCACCACAACATTTATCAAGTGTTTGTTTCGCCTCATCTTCGTCCAGATCATAGAATGCACCTGCAATGTCGTCGACCGTCTCGGGTATCGTCTTGAGGGTGTTCATAAGTTCATCGAGCCTTTTGCAGGGTGTCGAGGTGGTACCGTCCGGGGCTGCAGTTGGTTCGAGTATGGATGACGCAGGATATGTCTTTAACCTCCTCTTGACCAGTGCTTGGTATAGCATACCTACCATCTTCAGCTTCTTGACACTGGTGTCTAGAAGTTGCTTTAACTCCTTGTCATCCTTGCCAATCTTGTTCGAAGCGCCGAAGATCTCGTCTTCATCGTCACTGCCTTCTGCTCCATCGTCGTCATCTTCAACGTCCTCCCCCCATTCTTTCAGCTCTTCGATCGCATCCAGCAGAACTGCTCGTAATTCCTGCGCCTTCTTGACCACCAGTCCGACAACACCGTCTGTGCACAACTTTATCAGCGCGTCGCATGCATCCCATAACACACCAGTGGAAGATAAGACTTCTTGTTTCTCGCTCTCAGTCGGACCTTTATCTTTGCCCTGCATATCTTGCCTCTTCTCTGCCATCTTCAAAATTATGACAAGAACCTCTCCCCATGTCCCCAGTAACCTCCTCACCTGCGACTTGACTTCCGTGCGCATTATGTTCCCGATGTCACCCTTCTGACCCTCTTGTGGTACGTATGAGGCGGCAGCCACCAAGCTGTTTAGCGGGCCTGAGCTCACATCGCCAATCTTCGCTATGATGGCCGAGGGAGTGAGAGGTGGGTTTATGAGGAGGAGCGACAGCGTGGTTGTATGCGATTTTAGGAGTGTTGTCGACGCTTTGATGACATCAAGAGGATTTGCTATCTCAGTCGCCGAGGCATCGGACTTTGAAGTGATGTCTTTACTGGGCGCGAGAGAGGATTGGAAGTGCGTGAGGAGTGCTTGCGTGGTTTTGGTGAGATCAATAAGTGTGCGCAAGTCTTTTGGCTTCGACATTGCGACGGGCTTGCTGAGTATGACCTTGAGCAGGTCTTGTTTCTTGAGCGATACCAAAATGACTGACAATATGTGCGTCGTTCACAAGCCAAAGACTTTAGACTGTATCAAAATTTTGGTGGGGCAGTGACTCTTAGCGGGGTACCTGGGTAGCTCCGTCATAGCGGACACACTCCGCACACATGGCTGCAACAACCAACATCTCCACATCACTGTCCTTCCATGATCCCATCGACCTAGTTCTGAATCGAAATCTGGTGTGCGAAAGACATTTCGATACCAACCTCGTCGTTGCTGCTTTTCGGTCAGAAACCCTACGATACGAAGCCTGTACTCGAGGCAGTAATTTGCGGAAAGTAGACTCTATGTACTGCATTCAGGAAGTGCTTGGACGAGATAATGTGCCACCTATGCATGTAATCATGTATAAGTAGGCAGAATCGAGTTCAAAGTCTGCCCCGGCATCTGCTGAGATCACCACATGGCGCTGACCCCGCCCTCATGCTGCTCAGAGCGAGCCTCACCAATCGGGCACACACACTAGAGGATGATGGCTGAATCGCGCAGCTATTGATATTCACCGGAATCACAGACTGACCAGTAGTAGCTTGCTACATGTCATCTCATGACCCTCCATTACAGGTGCATTCATTACGGCTTGCATCAAGCAATTAAGCCTAGATCGTATCATTCGTTGATTAGATCCGAACGAACTAGACAGCCTTACGATCCGGATTTGAAGGACTGTTGATGATACCAGTCAAGCAGAGCCGCACGAAGCAGGACATACCAGTCTGGTGTATATCTGTTAGCCGTGGATATGCGAAGGACAAAGGTCTCAGACTGCCTTGGAACTGCAACGTTCTTCACCGGTTTGATGTTACTGTCCATCAACCCCGGATTCAATCACGCCTCGATACTGCCCTTTTGCCTCCTTGATACATAGCACTCGATGTCTTACGTGTGGGATACATTTCCGGAGTATCGCCTCAACCAGGCAGACTTGCAAGCGTACCTGACTGAATTGTATGGGTCGTATAATTTCTTCATCCAAGTATGATTTCCAGAAGTTTCAAATGGCGTAGGCTGAGCAAGGCTTGCAGGTCGTCAATGGGGAATACAAATTCTGGATTCCCAGCTCGCTAACCTCTGTATGGGCGAATTTCTGATATTAGTGTTAATACATGCCCTAACGTGCTTTCAGGATCAGCGAGCTGCTCTTAAGAGACGGCGATGGGAAGATGACTGATGAAAAGTGTTGACGAAGAGAGCGTGGGGCTATATGTTAGACATGCTCGTGCGCAGGGCTTAGCAGGATTTGGTTACATTCGTCTAGGGCAGCACACCGGACTCGGGACTCGGGGCTGTGATCATCTCCAGTGATGTTATATAGCCTGGTTTACCCATTTCCCTCGGGAACGAACTTTCCATACTTTATCAATTGGTTTTAGTAGTCGCAATGGATAAATTCGTTCTATCCTGTGAAGGGTTCAGGGAATACCCGACGAATCTTACACAGCGCAGCGCCCTCACACACAGCACAGCAGGATACCTTGATCGAATCAGAAACCAATCCAAAGACCTCTTCCGAGACGTCCAAGACACCAGAGTGGGAGTTGATTTTCTCGATTACCATGAAGCAGACCATCGTAAGCAGCCTATTGCCAGCTGCGATCTGATCTTCTAACCATGCACAAGGCTATAGCTCGGCATGCATCAAGGATCAGCGTGAATTGGAACTCATTCTAGGCTTTAAACAACCAATGAAGCCTGAGACTGTTGATCCAAGGTGCCGGTTCATGTTAGCGAACGTTACTATCCTTTGAGACTCAGCTGATGACGATAGATTCTTAACAGCAGGCCAAAGCCGCGCACCGCTGCGGATCACGCATGACATGTTCAGCTTTCTTTGTACGTTCTACCAGGTGCCTCCTTCGTTTCTAGACTTCGTCTTTCCCTTCGGACTAAGGGAACACGCACAAGACTTCCATTTCAGTGGGCTGAGAGACGAATCGCTGTTGGCTTCGTATGACAGAGCTTGCGTACTGTCCGAACTAGATCGTTCGGGAAGATACATTCGCTTCTGTTACAACCTAAGATCAGTGGAACCATCGCAAAGTCAGTCAAAGTTACCGTGGTCCATTCGCCAGTGTGCTGTATATCATACATTCGACGTAGAGAACGGGCGAACGTCCTGGATCATCGTCAAAGGAAACAAGAATATCAAGAATCGTTTGACTGAAGCGTCAGAAAGACAAACATATGGTGGTAACTCTCTCAATCCTCGCAGCGATGCGTTTGCAGCATCCCTTGATACGCATCTTTTGCTATGCAACTGGTCCGGCGAGAATTGGCGATGGTATATCAACGATCTGGAAGATCAATTGCAGACATTAACAAGAGGGGTATTGGCATTTCAGGTTGAGAAAACTCCGACACCACTGTCATCGCCTCCTTTATCAGATGTCACAAGTCCACGCCTCAGCATGGGACCATTTCGCAGCTTGTCACAGATGTCTCCAACAAGCCCTCCATCGCGATCTTTCACACTGCCACCAGTTTGGACAAAACGATCCCCGAATCGATCAAATACTATGCAATCAAGTCCACATCCCTGTACACGATCGCTGATGGGCAATGTTAATGACAACTTGTGGACATCGGTCCCAACAATGAACTCTCCTCCAAAGGCAAGGCAATGGAAGTCAGCTATAAATGATTTTCGCAGTGCACTGAAACAGCCGTGGCGCCTTGACACGACCAACGACAGCCCGGTCTCCGGAGATGAAAAGCGGTTGTTACCATCTTCTGAAAGGTTATCGCCTCCAGAGCTACCACCGTCTTTTTCCGCCAGTGATTTGGATAAGACACCTGATATATTCACCTTTAGAAATCTTCAAGACATACAACACATTGAAGAGAAGGCACAAGAAGCTATGCTTGTTTTGAAGTTGAACACAGATGTTCTTGAGCAGCTGAGGCTGCAGTATGACGAACTCACAAAGCATGGAGAATTTCCTCAAGAAATTCGTGACGACTGCAGAGCCAGCCTTCATCACTTTTCTAAAGCCGTAACTGGGGTCAAAAAAGATCTACGCATGCTGCAGTCGCGGACGGAGACACTATTGCACCTCTTGGCCAACCGAAAGTCTTTGGTAAGTAACATACTCTCGAATTCTATCCTTAATATGGGAAATGTCTGGTAAATATCCAGGCTAGACCTATGAAATCGATAAGAAAGGCCGCAGCTATCATCAGTAATGCAGCCACCAAGCACTTTCCAACAAAACGAGCAGCAAGAAAGACAACACTATACCTAGCATAGATATGTACTAATACAACGTCGCACAGGTAAGCGGTATATTGCAACATCGAAGCTCTAAAGCGAGTGAATTCTACGCAAAAGAGTCTCGAGAATGCGCAGCTCGCATGGAGACAATGACTCTGAAGATGCAAGACCTTGCCATGAAGACGAAGCAAGAGACAGTTTCAATGAGAGTGATCACCACTGTAACTCTTTTCTTCCTTCCAGCAACCTTCATCGCTGTAAGTGATCGGTAAAGTGCTTTGGGTCTGTACATCTACTGATCCTAAGCAGACTTTCATGAGCACCGACATCCTCAAATTCCAAAATGGCGAACAAGAACTACAAATACAGGGTCTGAAGCTATATTTGAAGGTTGCCCTGCCTGCGACAGCAATGACCTTCGTCGCATGGTACGTCATCTATTACTTGGCTAGAAGGGAAACTAGACAGAACGATCGGTCCGAAGTAGCTGGTGAGGCTTGATATCCTGGGTTGTCCAACCGTTGAATCGGCCAAGACTGTTTTACAAAGGGCGACATGTCCTACCATTCCAGACGTATAGATTGCAAAGGTTATTTCAACCCATGTATCGTTCGAATCAAATGTCCATGCTATTGCGTACCACAAAGTAACTTCTGTAGCCTGGCATGACTAGATAGACAAGACTTGATTTGACGGTCGACGCAATTCAGTATAGCCATCCAGTCGAGCGTCCAGGGACAAAGATCATTGTGATAGCCACTAGAAGCTGAAAGCGTGTCAAACCTGAATCACAGGCCATGGTCAGCAGTGGACCGGTGCGTCTTGGCGGGTCCACGCTGTGTCAACCCGTTTGAACTAAAGCCAACGTCGCACCCACAAAGAAGATCATTCCTGCCGTCTAATCCTCCGAATATCCATCACTGCTCATTGCCAGCACATATTTGTTTGCACTCGTCAACATACACTCATCGTGTCAGATTTGCGTTCATAATCGTGCAGGCTGAACAGTCCGACTGTTTGTCGTCCTTCCTGGTTCCGTCGGTCTGTTATTTCTAATGCTTTCCATTGTCTTTCGTCGCATCTCCTGCAGGAAATACTGTATGGTTCCAACTGGATAGTGGCATCCTCAACGAGGACGATGCCACGGTGATGCAGGTCCGGTAGATTGTGGCTTGAAGCTTTTGGCGGGGCAATGGGGTTCCCGTCTTGATCGCATTGCTTAGCGAACGACCGTAAAGCAGCTTCTGGGGCCTTAAGTTCAGCCTCGCAGCACGCACTTGCGAAATCTTCAACCTTGATTCCAGCTTACGTTTCAAGCTTCGTTCGTGCTGCTCCTCCTTCTGATCCGCTCTTGTACCTGGTGCGACTGATACCGACCGCGACTACCTGATGCGCGCCATCTCTAACGATCACTATGGCGCCCGGCACCAGTTGCGAACTCTCTGATTTCCTTGAGCACGTAGAGAGTTGCAAGCTGTTCGCCATAGCTGAATCTTCACCAACAGGCACCCAATCCATCGTGTCAGTACGCGCGCTTCACGCCTACCTTACTAAAGACAGAGTGCGAAAGCTCCTGTTATACGTCGCTAGTTCGTCCAACCATGAACACACAGTCCGGGAAAGATACTTGGTCGTATTTTCCATCCTTCTTTCGATAGATCGGGGTCCCTACATAACGAATTTCGTTCAACACGATGAGCTGGCAGATGCAAGACTGCCTTTTCATAGCCGCGGCGAATGGCCGGAAGTTTGCAGGCGTATATTTGACGAGTTTCACGAGGCGCAGTGGAAATTCTGCGCGAAACGGCTCGTGCATGGCTGGTTGAACGATACGAGGCTACACGAGGACGAGGTCGTACCCTTCAAGAGGAAGGAAGTGCTGCAAGAGGGTCCGGACTCGACTATCCTCAGGGTCGAGTTATTTGAGGAGTACAACTACCTTTTCCCGGTAGGTCAAATTTCTGAGCGCGCATAAGTCCACACTTGTGTAGCATGCTGCTGACTGCTGTGCGATCAGGATGAACCGCATAATCCCCCTACCAACGTCTTCATCCTGAAATCGTGTCCATCGAACAATACAAAGTTACATAACAATGAGGTAGAGGCTTACAGGATACTACTGAGCCACCCAAGTGGTCTGGATGCGATGCAAAACATGGCACGCTTTTATGGCTCGTGGATACAGGGTGACAACTGTTACATATTGCGTGAGTATGTTAGCGGCGGCACCCTCACGGAATTCTTCAAACGTACCGAGGCACCGACGTCAGCGAACGAGATACTGAAGTTCTGGACAAACTTCACACAGCTGATAAAGCCAATATCATCTATACACTGTCTTCCTGATCCACGCAACCATCGTTCGTTCAGAGTGGGGTGGGTGTGAACTTCTAAACTCTGCTTATTCTCGGCACAAGCTGACTGAGTTCTAAAGGTTACACAATGACATCAAACCGGACAACATTCTTGTGTCAGAGATGAACAAAGACAGCCCGTTCGATGTCTCCTACAAACTAATCGATCTGGGTCTTACTGGGTTTGTGCTAGCGAACGACCCCGAGGAGATACAGCTTCGCGATGTGCACGGCACGAAGATGTATAGTATGTTGTCATCGTGACCCGGCTTCGCTCTATTCTAACTCATCCTCAAGGTGCGCCCGAATATTTCCGTGGGGAGGATGACATGTTCAGGCAACAAAGCATCAAGCAAGCATACCCACCCAAAGACATCTGGGCCTTAGCTTGCGTAATCAGTGAAGCTGCAGTATGGTCTGTATTCGGTCAAAAGGGGCTGATTGAGTACCACAAACGGCGAGTGGAGGCGACTGACAGTATCCCATCCCTTGCAGAAACAGGTTACAGTGGCTGCTTCCATGATTCTACAAAAGTTCTCGATGTTGTAGATTTCATGCATAGGAAAGCCTACGATTCGCGCCGGGCAAATATTGATAACATTGTTAGCCATGTCATCCGTATAGTTGGTGGAATGATGGTCCAAGACCCTTCAAGAAGACCAGATGCGCTAAGAGTGTACGAAGACCTCACACGAGCTGTACAATTAGAGACACCACCAACAGCCACCACCTATACGCGACACTCTATGCCCGTCCAAATGCCTCCAGAACATCCAGCGGGATTGGGTGTGACTATCGGCACGCCTTCCATACGACTGCCTTACGAGTCGCCAGGGCATCCAATGCACCGTCCTCTAGACAGACGTGCAACGATCAGTACAAACCCTCGCGCTCGTCCACTTTCCGGCGTCTTGAGTACTGAAGAAGACGAAGAGATATCGAGACCAAGTCCTCACTTGGCGGCTTATGATGCTGCACATGGGCCGCAACAGACTCGAATATCTGGTATTAACAGCCCACTCCCACACTCTAGCGCACCTATCGGCCGGACAGATCTTCCTGTAGCTTCTGTTAATGAAGCTCTTGATTATATACGCAGAAAGAAGGCGGACTCGAGAACGCCTCCTCTACAAGGTCAAGAATGGTTGAAAAGACTACATGGGAGAGATCAGGTACTTCAATACCAATGAGTGGCTTTTGACTATCTCGCTGATTGAGCAACATTAGATCTTCCTAATCGATGATTCCGCATCCATGCAGCAACACTGGAAAGAGGTCAAGAAGGTCTTTGAAGCTCTTGCGTATCTCGTCAAACTTATGGACCCGGACGGTATTGAATTACGATTTGCTAATAGTTGTGAGCACGATGGCCGTGAGAAAAACCGTAATGGACTCATAAGAAATTTTGAGAGAGTAAAACCTGGTGGTCAGTGTCAGATGGGTATAGCACTCAACAAAATTCTCCCGAACTACTATCAGACCCCGACGAACAAACGAGGATCGTGGTATTTGCGAGCAGAGGAGAAGCCTTCAGTCAACATTTACATCCTCACGGACGGTGTGTGGTCGCAGGGTCAGGAATGTCTTTCTACGGTTCAGGATCACATTACTGGCCTAGTCAATCGTCTATCGGGGACTGGTAGACTGGAACATGTCGGTATCCAGTTCATCCGATTTGGAGATGATGAGGTTGGGAAACAGCGCCTGGATATTCTCGACAACGATAAGATGAAGTACTACGATGTTCCTAGAGACATTGTTGATACAGAGCCCTCTACTGGCAACATTTTCAAGATGCTCCTAGGAAGTACCGATGGTAACTGGGACGGACAAGATAGCGGCTGAAGCAAGCGGCTAGGTGCGAGTCGTCATAACGCTCACACAGCTTCGATCAAGTCTACGTGCAGCCTTGTACCCACTACGCGCTCACTATCCTCGGACAGTAGTCTACAAAATATCCGGCATGCCGCTTTCCTTCTCCGAAAATCTTAGGGCGAGAGGTTGCTTGTTCAGATTTGCATGGTCGGATACTTTGCATCGCCAAACATTCTCTTTTGTTTCGGGAACACTGCGCATGATACCCGGTGTGTTACGGAGTTTGCCAATGTCGGCGTTGCATTGGAGTCAGTGTCGACAAGCTCTATACACAGATCGTGCAAGGCATCATGAGAAAATTTCTTCGAGCCGTTCTAGACACACATCAGACGCCATGATTTCTACATATATATTACATCAATACCGTGACTCATGAATATCACTTCCAGCGCAACTCAGTTGTTCCGCTTGCTCTTCTCTTTCTGTTTCTTCTGCTTTTTCTTTCCCTTACCCTCCTTGCCCTCGCCATCGTCCTCACTCGCTCTCTTCCCGTTGCCATTCGCGCCCTTTGTAACTCCCTCCAGTGCGCCGTCCGCGTCCTCATCCTTGACAAGTAACTCATTCAGTGCATCGTTGAATTTTTCCAGCTCGCAGATTTCACCAATTTTGACGCGCATGTAGTCAAATGCGATGGCGACCTTCATGTCCTTGTTGCGTACTTTGATGACACGCGCATTTTCGCGGAGCGAAGACGAGGTTTCATGGGTGAGCGAAGGGATCGGTTTCGCAGGGCCTGGAGCTGGTGCTGTGGCAGATGGAATAGTGGGGTGAGTGTCCATATTGTCTGCATTTTCGATAGTGGGGTCGACTTCGGCTTCTTCGTCTTCCATGGGAACGTCTTCGGCGACTTCTTTGGGGTTGAGCAGAGGGTCCTCTTCCTCACCGTCGGTGACGGTCTGTAAGACGGGAATTTTTTGGTATCGCTGGCTGAAATGCGTGAGCACCACGGCCTTAGCATTCATCTGCGCGCCGATACCCAATGCCTCGGACGTGGTGGAATGTTTCTTCGCCTTTGCGTCACCTTGGAGCTCATCATCGAAAGTTGCTTCGTGAATGAGGACAGTTGTGTCAGTTCCAATCTTGGAGAAGTGGTAGCTCGGTCTGCAGTCACCCGAATAGCTGACTTTAAGTGGCTTTACGTCTTTGGGATCTGATGGCGAGCTCGGGAAAGTCATTGAAACAGCCATGGCTCCGTTACAATGTGCTACCTTAGCTGCTTGTATATCTTGGAACCCAAACAGTCGCTCATAGTCCTCTCTTTGCACGATCGGGTTCTCAGACACATCTTTTCCGAACGAGTTTACTATGGATAATGTCGAGCTCTTCCGTGGTTCATTGGCGGTGATTTGAAGAGGGAGGATCCGGCTGTATCCGAAGTCTTCGATTGCAGAGTACTCGCTGAGCCACTGTAGCATCCCACTGTGTGATATTACAGAAAGACCGTATGCGCTAGTGTCTATGTCGCTCGCGGAAGTATCGAGGGACTCGGAGTTGGGAACGGCATTGTGTACTACTTGGTACCATGCACGGATTACCGCCGCTGTACCCAGATGGTGATCGGCGTGTAGGTGACTGATCCAGATTATCCGCAGGTTCTTGATGATATCAATGAGCTCTTCGTAGGGAAAGACTCTTGACAGTTGACCAAGTGTGTTCTCTCCACAATCAAGGAGATAGTTGCCAATACCAGGAACCCGTACTAAAGTGGCAGACACGTTACGGTACTTAGACGGCAAAGCAGAACCTGTTCCGAGAGTCGTAACCTCAGTGTCAGGACGTGCCAATAGCTGTTTCCACATAAGCATGTCTGCGCGGTTGCTATGCACAGTTGCCTGGGCCTGTTTAGCCAACTCCAGGACTTCTGGTGGGGTCTCATTTTGTATCTCATTAGGAACGAAGAGCTTGGAGGCAGTGTCCTTCTTCAAGACAAACTTCGGCATGAGTGTAAAGGACATGCCTCGGTCAGCGGCGATGGCTCCTTTGGACAACAGCGATACTGCTGACGTGCCAGTCCTATACAGACTATTTTGTGGTAGAGAAGTGTTGTCGAACACGGGCGTAGAGTACCTTGTTGGGTCGATCTGTCCAAGACGTGTAGCCTGTGCCGCTACTGAGTCATTCGCAATACGATTTGGCGCAGTATCCAGAGACGATATTACGTGTTCCACACCGTCCATCTTATTCATAAACTCAACAAGAGTCGGATGGCCCGCGACGCCTGGACCCAGCATCCAAACGATAGCTCCAATGCCAGTCATCACTTCTGGAGAGCTAAGTTCTTCTCGCTGCAGGATGCTTTCAACGTACGCAACTGAGGGAATGTCCAGGATGGCAACACCTTGACCAGGCCTGTCAGCTCCGACAACCTGTTCTGGGGTTATGGTCTCTCCATTCGCATTCTGTACTGACTGGCCATTGGTCAGCTTTCCGAAATCAGGCCCCGGTTTAACACCTAGCGCTTTCGCACGTGCGACATCGAATTGACCACGAAATGGAAGCGACCGCACAATATACGATACACATTCTGGCGCTGGCCTAGTTGGTGGAAGAGCCAGAATGGTAGCGCCAGGCCACGGCGTCCGGGTCCAGACGGTGATATCAGGAAGAGGATCTGGGCCGCCCGGCTTTGGACCTTGGTAGGGCTCGTATCCGTGTGTGTTGGGGTTACGGACGAATATGGCTGCAGGCATTTCTACCTCGGAGATATGTCGTTCTACAAGTGTGTCCATCCTCCAATTTGAGTCAAACATGTACTTGATGGTCGCCGTCCGTATTTTGCCGTATCTTGCTTCGCGGTCTTCTGGACTCTCATTCTCAGGAGCCTGAAATTCGTCAAACGTGTTCAAGTGTGTGTCGAAGTGCTTTTGCCGCTTTTCCAGTTCAGCTTCCGCTTGTTTATCAGGTTCAGAACCGCTCGGCGATACTGACATGGCCCACACTTTGATACTTGCGTCCTCCCAGGTCGGGACTATGACACCATCCTCGTTCTTCTCAGGCGACTGCTTCACATATTCGGTAGCATTGATCGGTATGCCCTTTCTGAAGATAAATCTCCGGCATGTTGCTAGTGTATGCTTTAGGTTCGGCGGTCCGTATATGTCAAAGTGCGGTTTTGGTGGCGCTTCGCCTTTCTTTCCCCGCTCCTGAGCCTGACGAAACGATTCCATGGCTGTGGTATAAGAGCTCGTACTTGAGTCAGCCAATGTGAGCATCATGCCAATCAACCCGCCCATATTTTTCCACTCTGCCCTCCCCGTCAAGAAGAAATCCTGGGCCTTCAGCAGACGTGTGCCCTGCTGTACCATTGCCCGTTGAGTACCCTCTGCCAGATTGCCGAAAACATAGTGCTTGGTCGCCGTTCGCAGCACCAGCGTTGTGCCTGGCGTGTCAGCCGTAGGCGTTGTGACGATTTCGATGCTGCACGACATGTTTCTGCTCCAGGTGGCCTTACTATTACCCGTGGAAGCTTTTGTCTGTATACTTTCGAGTTCGGGTGGTTCGGGGATCGATTGCTGCGCGGGTTGGCATGAAATTGGTACGGATCGAGCTCGGATATGATCTTTCGTTCCGTAGCGGTCCTCTTGGGCCTGTTCTCGATCGCAGTATATCAAACGAGTGCGAATCCTTGGTCTTGCTGGATCATGGGCCTTGATCTTCTCTTGGTGTGCAATTGCAAGATCCGTCAAGGCATCGAGGGCTGAATAGTGCGGAGTGCTAGTCGCAAAGGTTCGGAAGAGAAGGCAGGATCGTTTCGGTACAGGGGCACGTCTTGAGTGGAGCGTAAAAGCAGCGTAGTTCGTATGCGCTACAAGGCGAACGCAACGTGGGCGCGATGCAAAGAACCGGACATTAGTCGTAATGGTCGTAGCACGCTTCGTGGCGCTCAGTTTGGAAGCCAACTTGACGAATAGAACGACAGACACGAGAAGTAACTATGTACAGCTTGTCGGAACAAAGAGCGTACGCAATGAGTCGAAGCGATGCGCGTCACTCTATCGCAATGCGTCAATGATTTTTAGGCGAACTGAGGCCCGTGCGAGCTAGATCGAGCGGACCGGTTCCGCGTCACTTTTGTTCTTGTCATTCATCACTCCATCTTGAAAAAGACATTACTCTCGTTGGGTATCTCGTATCAATTATGCGACTGCGTATCATCCCTTGGTTTTCATGTTGGATCTATAGATCCCTTCGAACACTGACTTTGTGACGCACTTAGGCATTCTTCTTCCGTAGTGCTCCTCCGTCGACAGTGATGTCCTGTCCTGTAACGAAACCTGCCTCGATGAGATACAGTGCAGCGTCGGCAATGTCCTTCGGCCTTCCAGCTCTGTTTGTCGGGTGATCAGACACATCCTTCTCACTGATCTGACCTGCCCAGTCCGCACCGTTCTCGTCACCTTCTTTGCTCTCATGTGCAACCTTGATGCGTCCGGGTGCGATGAGATTGACTCGAATACCGAGACTGCCTAGGCTGATTGCCATTGAGTGCATCAACCCAAGTTGACCCGCTTTGCTTGAAGCATACCCCTCCTGGTTTGGATCCGACTGGTGTGCACGGAAGGAGCCAATGTGAATGATGCATGGACCTGCAGGACTGGAATTGTTCGCGTTCTGGATATGCGCACCATGCTCGAAATCAGATGCTCGTGCCTTCATGTACGGAATGCAAGCTTGAGACATGGCGAAAGGGCCAGTAAGATTGGTGTCGATGTACGCTTTCCACTCATCGATGGTCGAGAGGTCCTCCATAGTCTTGCCATCCCTCCACTGTGGACTTGCGATACCGCCGTTGTTGATTAGGACATCAATACGATCATTAAAGAACTTGGCCGCCTCTTTGACTTTGGCACGAATGTCGTCGACATTGCGAAGGTCGCAGATCGCCGAACCAAGCCTCCCGTCGGCGTAGTACTGTTTGAGATGAACCTTGGTCGTATGCTCGAGCTCCTCTTCATCGATGTCGAAGATGTAGGCGTGGTGGCCAGCTTCGAGCATCATCCGAGTCAATGCTCGACCAATCCCTCGGGCCCCGCCAGAGATTATGATGTTTTTGTATATCGCTGGTGCTTGGGATGCCATTCTGAGAATCTGAAAGTGTGGGTTTGGTGTGATATGGTTTGGAGACGTGTTCGCGGGGTGAACTTTGCGTAGGTGTTGTTTGTTTAAGTACGTTGGTCTGACGTCACGCCTCAACATATCGCTTGTCGCCACGGTAGGCACTGCAAGAGATCGTAAAGTTCAAAATCATTATTCTGGAAGTCTGACCTAGGATACAATACCTTGTATTATATACGTGGCAATAAAACCATAGACCATAGCTTCGAAATCCTAAAGAGGAAACAGACGATATTGGAGGAGGGGACATGGCATGAGAAAGGGCGACGATTAGCCATGGGAATGAAGAACACATCACCATGTTGGTGCACTCGGCACTTTGAGTGAACGTTCAAATCGCATCCATAAATCTTTTATCAAAACATGACAACCAAGTCCCTCCTGACGCCTGAGAACACCAAGTTCCGTCAAAGTACAGGTATATGACCACATGCATGCATCGTTGAAATCAGAAAAGCGCCGTCAGCCTATTGCGGCTCACATTGCGTCTATTGCGAACGCTGGTAAACACCAACAACCATGGCGTGGTCACGCTCGAAGGGCTCAAGGGTAAGCTGCTCCTTGGGCTTGATGCCCATCTCTCGCAGCTTGTTGACTTCCTGTGCGAAGACGGCTTCGGGGGCGGCAGTAGAGTCGATACAGTTGGCCTTGATGGAGATGACGATACCACCTCCAACCTTGAGGAAGAGTCCGGCGTTGAGACCAACGATACGGGCTTGATCGGGCTGGGCAACGTCGGCGAAAATGCAGTCGACCATGCCGACGAGCATGCGGTACTTCAGAGGGTGACGAGCTGTGGATCATGTTAGTGACTATCAAGAAGAGAAGAGTAGGAAGTGACATACCATCCTCAACGATGGGGATGACGTTGGTGCGGTGAGTGGCCATGTTGATGAGATCACGACCGGAGCGGTGGGAGAACTCAACAGCGAAAACAGTTCCCTCGGGTCCGACAATGTCGGCAACGTGAGAGACTGATGTTCCTGAAGCGGCACCGAGGTACAGGACCTTGGAGCCAGGGCCCATGTAGATGTTGTCGACACCACCTAAGATACCAGCGGCCAACTTGGAGCGGAAGGGGTTCCAGACACGGTACTCTGTGCTGGATGGGGCTTCGGTCTCGCCATCCTTGGGCGCGGTGCTAGCACCAACGCTGATGCGCTTCTCGCCGTAAACAGACTCTCCGGGGGTCAAGTTCTTGGTGACAAGGAGATCCTCCTTTCCGCGGGCGACGAAAACACCTGCGTGGCGATGGCTGGAGAAGTGGTCAGTAAGTGCGATACGCAACTTGGGCGGGTTATACTCACGGCTCAACAATGACCTTGGCTCCTCCACGGGCTCCGGCTCCGCCACGGCCACCTCCTCGAGGGGCACCACGGCCTCTGGGGGCACCACGGCCCCCACCTCCACGGCCACCTCCACGTCCGCCACGGTCACCGCCGCCGCGACCTCCGCCGAATCCGCCGCGACCACCTCGGGGGGTGAAGCCGCCGCGACCTCCACGGTCACCACCCCCACCACGCCCGCCGCCGCCACGACCGCCTCTGTTCAAAGTTAGAGCTGCGCTACAAATGGATGATCGAGAAAAAGTCCAGAGAAGGTGATGTTGTCAAAGTTGCACCCCAGCTGGAAAGCGATCCAGAGGCATTCGCTATATGTTGTGTCAAGCTTGCGCTGCATGGTAACATAGCGAATACACTCAGGATTCAGCTTGCAAGGGTGCGACTCAAGGGAAAAAAAGAGCTTCTCCGTAGGGCAAAACGCGCATGTTGAGCAGGCAAACGTCAAGATACCCAGTATCTATCCGATAGCATGTCGCTCAATATGGCGTGATTCGCGCAAGATGTATTTCGCGATGAAGATTCGAGGCGTGCGCAAATCGTACCTAGGTGTGAAAGCCATTGCTTATAACTGTCGGGATAGTTCGAGTAGGTTATGGGATGCGAAAGCTATTGCGCAGAGTTAGCTTTGATGTAATGGGTCATGAATACTGGCAAACGTACCTCTGCGTGATCTGTTCCACTAGATGCGCGTTGACTGTGCGCGTTGAAGTGGCTGTGGATACGGTATGTCGCGGTATGGGTGCTGAAGAGCTTCGAGGTGAAGTTCGAGCTCACCATTGAAACTTTTCTAATTAGCGCCATATTCTGCGCGGCCAATCACGTGTTGCAGCCACAAGCGGCCCACTATTCCTTAGCGAATGCACCCGGAAACCACAATGGATTTTCGATTTCCCTTCACGTCGCCAGTCTACTAACAACAACAGCACATCTCGACAAAATGGTACGTCTGCCGTCGCGATACTCAGTGCCAACGCTGCACGCTCCGAACATGGGATTAATTGTTGCAGGTTCGCTACGGTGCCTCCTCCATTGACGGCGCAAAGTCTGCTCGCGCCCGCGGCAGCTACCTCCGCGTATCCTTCAAGAACACCCGCGAGACTGCCCAGGCTGTCAACGGCTGGAAGCTCGACCGCGCCCTCACCTACCTCGGAAATGTCTTGGAGCACAAGGAGGCTATCCCCATGAGGCGGTACGCCGGCAGCACTGGACGCACTGCTCAGGGTGAGTAGCCCTGCACCCGATTCGCACTGTGGACAGATGGAAAATTGCACTGGGGGAGGAGCTTTGAGCATGGAAACAGAGCCGATGTTGGCGATTGCAGGAACATGGGCTGACTTGAGCAGGCAAGGCTTTCGGTGTCTCCAAGGCCCGCTGGCCCGTCAAGTCCGCTGAGATCCTCATCGGTCTCCTTAAGAACGCCGAGGCCAACGCCGACACCAAGGGTCTCGACACCTCCAACCTGATCATCAAGCACATCCAGGTCAACCAGGCCCCCAAGCAGCGAAGGCGCACTTACCGTGCTCACGGTCGTGTACGTACACTAGCGTCTACAGCCGCGGTCTCCTCTAACATGTCTAGATCAACCCGTACATGAGCAACCCCTCCCACATTGAGCTCATCCTCACCGAGGCCGCCGAAGTTGTCCAGAAGTCCCCCCAGACCCTCGAGCGCCGATTGAACTCCAGGCAGCGTGGCCGCGCCGTCCGCAAGGCCATCACCGCCTCTGAGGAGTAGAGGATGTACGAGGAGATGATGTTCCGGCGAAGAAAACGGTCAAGGCATGGGCACGGTTTGGGAGTCAATGAGCGATGAATATTCAGGGTCTTTCCACACTCGTCATGTATGCATGATATGGCACTTCGATTTCTGCGGTGTCTGGTCCGTAAAATAAATAGGGCCACGTCCTGGTTCCCCAATGTTCAAAGCCGAGACTTCCAAAACTGTGTTCACGATACTGATGGCTCGCATGCTTGACTCCATGTAATACCAAGGCGTTTGCTGATCGTAATGGTGCTTGTTTCAAGCGGTCTGATTCTGGTCTTTCACATGCAATTTTTGCTAAAGCAGATTGATCCTTTTGGAAGCCGTACCCAGAATGCATTTTGAAGGTATTCGTTAAAACTATGTTGTGTTCACGATGATGTAACATGCAGCAATCCCATTATGGTGCGTCTAGAGTACAGCTCCAAAATACGCGAGCCACTTTTCAAAGCTAAGAATATTTCTAACATTGTCCAAAGCAATCCCCACATGCATCGCAACTCATGGACCCTGATCTCGCAGAATTTCCTTCCACTTGTAGGGCTGATTGGATCAAAGCAGGCTAGCCTCAATCAAACCTAGCGTGCTGGAGGAACTTTGGCTTCTCGAGCTTACGATGCTAGCAAAGCATAGGCCCAACGGCCAGCTAATCTTGCATACCACTAATCCCTGCTATGAAGGTTGTTGCAAATCCTATACTATGTGTTTCGAGTCAGTTGTGTTTTGTTGCCTTGCTTCATTTACTCTTGCCAACTTTCCCACGATCAATGACGCAAGCCCAGCAAGCCCAGGCATGGTCATGTACCTCGCCACAAAATGTGTCGAAAAGATAAGTAGTCATGTATAGACTAGGATCTACCCGTCATTCAACGTCTTTTTACTATAGATTTGTTTCTTTAGCATAAAGAGCGACCTTCTTTTCACGTGCGCGATTACCCCTTCAGTCTTCACTATACTATGATGGCTCGGCTACACCAATCTACTCGCCACAGGCGGCAAAGGCCATCCTACACCTCTTTCCTCGCCATCTTCATCACTGCGGCATGGGCGCAAGACTCAAAACGCGGTTTTGCATTCATAGGCGACTCGCATGTACCGGACAACCGCCTGCTTACCTCCGACAACTCGCCAATATCATGGTACTACAATTGGTCTCCATACCCAAATAGTGATCTTATTCCGGCGGACAGTCTAGAGTTTGTCCCCATGATTCATGGCATAGACGCCACGGAAGACAGTCAAACCGAACGCGTCATAGGAGGCTTGCCACAAAGTAGCAAGCACCTTTTGTCCTTTAACGAGCCGGACGGCACCGAAGGGAGTGGTGGTAGCAGCATTAGTCCTGAAGATGCCGCGAAAGCATACATCGATTTCGTCGTGCCTTTCCGGAATGGTGATAGCGGCGGCAGGAATTGGTTGATCAGCCATCCGAGTACTACGGGTAGTCCAAACGGTCTTGACTGGTTACGACGCTTCAACGAGTCTTGTTATGAGATCGATTCTGAAAACGGCTGCCCAACGGATTTTGTCGCCGTACATTGGTATGGTGCTTTTGATGGTTTGGCAGGCTGGTTAGGCACCCTGGATGAATTCTACAACACGAATTCGACAAGAGATCAACCGCTGAAACTTTGGATTACCGAGATGGCACTTCCGCAACAAGACGAGGAGAATACTGTGGGCATGATGAACCAGACACTGCCCTATCTCGACCAACTGGATTACGTGGAACGGTACTCGTGGTTCGGTGCTTTCAGAACAGATGATGCGAACGAATGGACCGGCGACGGGGTAGCACTGTTCGATGATGATGGTGGCTTGACCGAGCTCGGTGCTCTATACTTGGGTGATGGGTTTGAAGAAGGACAGAAGGGTGAGGGTGCAGAGGATGCGGCAAGTGGGCTGAGGGTCAGTGCAGGACTGATGGCCGCTTTGGCTTTGTGCGCGACAATGTTTGCCATGCTGTAAATGATATCCACGATAGATTTTCCTTTGACTGTAGATACCTTAGCGATTTGTATATATCACCGAGAGTGCATAGTAGTGTTTCTTGACTGCAGGTCATCGCTCCATACGACGCGGTCTAGCTCGGCTAACAAATTTCCGATCAACCGCCTGTACCTAGATAAAGTCAACGAAACCGTCACCTACAACTGTCAAACTACTATAACAACATAAAAACCCCTGAGCGCACCAGATTAACTACAGCCGACAGTCTGAACCTCCTCCTTCCTAAGCTTGGGATACCAACGATGCTGCGATGCTGCAGATAGCGACGACGGGCAAACATTGCGACTCAGCAAAGACAATCGCAGCATCTCTACGGAGCAGAGTTCGGCTTATTTCATGGCTACTCGCATAGATCAACGACAACAGCTAGACTCTTGTGTGAACACGAAGCTGCCGCAAAGATGCACCGCGTCGCGATACGCCTCTTTCCACGTTTCACGCCAAGCCATCTCCAGATCTGTCGAAACATGCCAAACACACCATGTTGGCCACTCAAACATCCTTCGCAATACCTTGGACATCTGATCTCACACTTATAACGTTTGGTCTGGGAACTGTTGTTCCACTCGTTCCCCCAGATGCCACAACAATCGAGACCCTTGCACGACTCAGAAGGTAATCTGCTAACCGTCTCAAACAAGGTATCAACTAAGCTTTTGCCAAACGCAAGACAAGCTTTTCTTCACTGAAGTGCTTGGAAAACAAGCCTTCAAACAAGATATCTCACGATCTATTCCTGTCGCGGCTCAAGTTGTTTCCTTTCTCACATGCACAGCCTCACCCTGTTGGAGCCTTGGCGGCTATGGTACTCAAGTGCTGGTGCGCACGCAGCGTCGGACGCGAGTATTTCCGAACACACATGGCACTTGAGTTGCTTTGGTTGGCCATCTGTTTCGATGGAGTCAACAGTGCGGCGCTAACGTGAGATGAAAATAGTAGGTTAGGTTAAGGAAGGGCTGCATCCGTCGACGCAAGCACCCGGAAGTCGGAACAAGAGAACGATTGATACATGATAAGACACGGATGCCTTGGACCTGAAAGTGTATTCTTCTGTCTCCTGTTGCGTTTCCAATCTTCCATCTAATAAACCTCCTTCCCCCTGCTTCAATCATTTGACTCTCATCAGTCCTCCGAGAATCACACATCATGCGCTCCTCCATAATATCTTCAGTCATATCAGTCTCCAGTTTACTGGCAAGTAACACGTTTGCAGCACCAGTCAACAAACGCGATTATGCACCTTTCCCCCTCGCCAACGGCTTCCCAAACCCCAACCAAGAAGCTATCCTTCAGATCCAAAAAGACGGTCACGGTACCCTACCCAACGGCCCTCCACCCCCTACAATCAGTCCGGATGGCGTCATAAACCTCAAGCTCATTGCGCTAAACGAGCTGTTTGAAGTGGCCTTCTTTACCGAACTTATGGCCAACGTAACGGACAAAGCCCCAGGCTACGATCTCGGAGACAGACAGGGCTACATCATTGAATCCCTAAAAGCCATTGTCGCACAAGAAGAGATGCACGTCCTGAACGCAAACGAAGCATTGAAGCACTTCAATCAAGTTCCCATCGAACCCTGCAAATACAACTTTCCCGTCACCGACTATGCAAGCGCCATTGCTCTAGCAGCAACGTTCACAGATCTCGTTCTTGGTACTTTGCAAGACGTCAACGAGCTTTTTGCTCGCTCGCAGGATTTTGGTCTTGTACGCGCTGTATCGTCCGTGATAGGGAATGAGGGCTCTCAAGAAGGCTTCTTCCGGGTTGAGCAAAAGAAGCGACCAAGCGCACAGCCATTCATGACGACCGCAGCGCGCGACTTTGCTTTTACAGCGATACAAGACTTTGTTGTAAAGGGCAGTTGCCCAAATATCGACACCATCCCGCTCAAGACATTCAAGCCTTTGACGGTCGAAACTAAGGATATAAAGGCTGAGACGCAGAGTATTAAGTTTTCGTTTTCGATGCAGGATGCGGGAATGTTCGAGATTGATCACCTCAAGCTTGTTTGGATCAATGGGCAGAATGTGCCAGTTGCCAAAGGATTTGAAAATGTGCAGATGATGGACGACAGAGTCATGTTTGAAGCTGCGTTTCCGTTTGATGAGTTTGACATGGAAGGGTTGACTATCGCGGCTGTGACGATGGGTGCGGATACGTTCGATGGTGCCGGCGAGGTTGCAGAAAGGACGGTGTTTGGGCCTGGACTAATTGAGCTTGATTGAGTAGCGGGCCGATGAGACATCGAGAAGTCGGTATTGCATAGCGATGGCGTTATTGCGTTGTTCTTTCGGATAAGAAACGCATTCTTGGGGTGTAGTTAATGTAATGTCTTTTGATGCCCATGCTAGGATTCCTCATAATCCTCGTGACTCCCCAGTATGCTGTGGCTTGCACGCGCGTATCTCATCCGAGCTCGAAACAGACAATCTGAAAGCTAAAGCTCGCTCACAGGCCTCGCTAGCAGAGTATTCATATCGACAGTCTCCCTGAAACTCTTCAAAAACACCCTCATTGTGCTCGGCAGCTTTGGTTGATGCCAAATGCGCATTATGCTCATAATGTATTCCTCGTCAGGTTTCCTGTTCCTGTTCAGGTAGAACAGTGCATGGCCAAGAGGCGGCCATATAGCCATGACACCTGTTATGCCGAATTGCTCTTGAAGAAAGTAGCCGACTGACTTCATAATCATTCTTGCAAAAGGCCGGGGGTGCGGGCGATCGGGATGCGAAAGTAGGTTGTCGGTCGAAGGATCGATACCGCTTGCGATGTCGAGGCAAGAGTAGAGGAAAAGAGCCGTCAACCAATATCGGACTGTGACGCTGGCAACATCAATGTTGGGGAAGGTAATAGAGGTTGAGTTGTTGACAATCTTAGGTGTGTATATGGCGTTCGCTTTGTCGTTGACCCAAGCTTCCAGCTCGAAGTGCAGTGTCCAGCATCTTGCTAACGTATACACTTGTAGCCCTTCTCTCTCTTGTTCACTCATGCATTGGAACTGCAACTTGTCCACAGCTTCCAAGAGCTCGGGTATGCCGCAGAGCATGTCGATGAGAACATCGTCGGATGACTTGATTCGTCCCTTCCAGGGTATTGTCTTCCATCCTTCCTCATTCAGTATCGTTGGTTTTCTGGCGCGGGTAGCAGGCCCCAATAGTCGATACCTTGCATTAGTGAACAACATATGTGCTTCGTCGTTCTCCGCGAATAGTTCTGGCCCACGACTAACTATCATAGCTAGCTCGCCCTCACAATGGTTGAGCCAGCTCTTCGCCTGGCTGGTCGTGTTTGGTTCCGCGCCAAACAACATGTCGAATAGGGCCATGACTCGCGGTACAACAAGGAGTGACTCGCTATTCGCTCGGAAAGGGTTCTGTAGAGCTACAGCCGTTTCCTTCAGTGCTTTACCGTACAATGTTCTTCCCTGTCGTGTAAGACTTTCGTTGTTCGAAGTTATCCCAAGCTGTGTTATACCGACTGCCAAAGCGGCCATCTGTAGTGCTTCATCGCGCGTACTGAGCATGGGCAACAAGCTCACAAACTCTTTTGCGTCCGTGTTGGTGGTGCGAATTATTCCCTCTGGATTGTACATACTTAGGAAAGTCGCAATCGTCTTTTCACTGTAAGCAGATCTGGCAAGCCCATCTGGCAACATGATTGGTACTGAAACAGGACGGAATTTCTGTGTCCCTGGATCAGACGCAGGCTTTACATGTACAATCTGCATGGTGTGCCGATGTGGCTGCTCGGGAGATTTTGAGGCGGTCGCATGCCGTCCTACTTTTGGTATAGAACGGGGAGACCCGCCTCCAGTTTGGTAGATGAATATGCGATCCGAATCGTAGCCTCCGCATGTGATGCCGCGTTCCTTGCATTGACCACACTCGGGCTGGGCCAAATCGCACTACATCCATCAGCCTCTCATCCTCAGGTACTCTCCAAAGACGCTCCCACTTACACCCTTCTTTCTCTTCCGGCATGTCACACAGCCTTTCGAACGTCCTGGAACGCCCACCATCTCGGGAGTTTAGAACAAGCGCATCCACGAAGGATCTCGTACGCTAGCTGTCGTTCAGCGCAGAATAGTCCCTTTATGGACACACGTTGTCTGCCTGCTAGCGTAACGGTGAAGCACGAAGCGTAGTGCAGTAGGGTTAGGAATCGGGCGAAGTACAGGGATAATGATTGGCGCGCATCTATCTATGACGATGCCGTGAATCTTTGGAAAGCTTGGAAAGTGGCTTCAATAAGGCGTCCTGTGTTGTCAGCTCATTGAGCCAATGGATCCTATCCGCGCCTTGCCCCTTTCGGCTGATTCTGCGACAGCTTTCGCTACCAGATTTAGGATAGCTTACAACGCCGAACAATCGAGGCGAAGCTTTGAAGTGCAGCTGCATGCTGCCCACATTCTGTGGACCAGATCTAGCTAACCTTGCGCTGATTTGACCATGACTATCATCGATTCACAGCCTCGTTGATCGGCCAGGGTGGCGCTTCTGTCGCATAGACAACTCTTTGCGGGTTCATTGCGCGCACTAGGTATCGTAAAATCTTGTGCGTACTGGCGCAGAATCACCTCGATGCGGTATGAGGATGTGTTCCAGCATTGAAGTTATAACATGCGACCATCTCTCTTGAAGATGGCTCATACTTCAGCAAACATCGTCATCTACACAATAACAGACCAGTCTCTCAAACTCAAACCAAAAAACAGTCACCTTTGAATCTCACGCATCTCATATCACCATGGTCGCATCACCACCACCATCAACCAGCGCTTTTGCCAGACACGTTATGAACCCACTTGGTTTCACAAAAGCCTACAATTTCTGGCTGTATATCATCTTTGGCGGCGCATTCGTAGGCTGTATGTTCCCTGTCATTTAAGACTCTTCACATGTCTCTAATACAATCTATAGTCGCCCTGGCTCGTATGTCCTATCTCGATTTCTCGAAAAACTTCTGTCCCGCAGATGGTGCCAGCCCAGGCGGCAACGGCGCAGCACCAGGAGAATGCTACTACTATCTCAACTTTAACCGTTACAAGATTGGTATCCTACTGCATCTCGCTGGTGTACTGCCCGCTAGTCTGCTGGCAGTGGTGCAATTCACCCCTTTCATTCGCCGGCGCTGGATTATCGTACACCGCATTGGTGGTTATGCGGCGCTCCTCCTATACCTCGTGGGCCTCGCTGGCGCGCTGATGATTGCACGACATGCATTCGGTGGTGGTCTGGATGTACAGAGCTTTGTCGGCGTTCTGGGTTTCGGTTCGCTAGGCTGCTTCATCATCAGCTATATCAACGTCAAGCGACTCCAGATCGAGCAACATCGTGCGTGGATGTTGAGAGGCTGGTTTTACGCTGGCACGATCATCACAAGTCGATTTATTGTGATCATCGCTGCCAAAATCATCGCATCGCAAGACTACTATATTGTTTGGAGCTGCGCGAAGATTGCAGCAACCATTTCCGGTGACGTGGACCTCGCAACTTCGTACCCTACCTGTGCATCCTTCGTCAACGGTACAGACCCCGAGGCAGTGTCAAGCGTGGCAGCAACTTTTGCGGTCGGGGATGCAGCAAACACTGGCGCGGCCCTGAATGTCGTCTTCGGTATGGCGTTGTGGGTGTCGCTTGCGCTACATGCCTTTGGTGTAGAGCTTTACTTGCACCTTACGCCGAAAGAAGCGCAAAGGTTACGACAGATTAGCTACCAAAGACAATTGGAGGCAGGCCTACGCAACCCTGGCTCTGCAGGGCTTACTACGGACCGTCTGGGAGATGCGGAAAAATGGGTACCAGAAACATCCAGCAAAGATAGTACGAGCATGCAAGCGACCGAGCCGACCGAGCCGACCGAGCCTAATATGGTAGCAGAGACAAAGTAAGATTGGGTTATATGATTTGGTTCTTTTCGCACAGCATACCGCGTTTTGATTTCCAAGGAAGATTGAGCATTTATTGCGAGGCATTAGACTAGTCCTTGAGATTACTATTAGGTTGTAATCTAGGCATTGCGCTTCGATACCCTACCAAAAACTACACTTACATTACCATGAGTTCTTTAATCGTCAACTCTAGCGGTGAAGTATCACACCTCGCCCAGATTGCTCACCATGGCAGCTGAAGAGGAGTCGACAGCTTGTCCTTAGGTCCCAACACGGGCTCGGCAGTGCCAATGTCCCTGGAATCATGATTAGCACAGGGTTCAATCTGAGCTAACTTAAACCTACGCAGGTCCTCTTGGAGCCCAGTACTGTCCGGTATGACTAATATCGAACTGTTCAATCCATCCCACAAGCGACTGCGCAGCGACATCCGGTGTGACTGCGCCTCCTTCATCCCAGAACTTATCAAAGCCCACGTTACGAGTCATGTCCGTCCTCATGAAACCTGGATGTACGGTGACTATCGCAATGCCACGGTCTTTCAGATCCAGGCTTAATAGTTTCGCACACATGTTGAGCGCTGCTTTGCTGGCATGGTGGCCATAGTTGCCGCCACCCTCCGACTCATGTCTGAGTGTAATACTGCCGCTCTCGGAAGATACAAAGACTATCTTGGACCGGTCATCGAGAAGTGTGCTGTTGTAGTTGGCAAGTGCGGTTACGAGTGTGGTAGGACCGATGGCGCATATTTTATACATGCGCTGTTGAGCAGAAAAGGAGGGCTCCTTAAGCGACTCAGTTGCAAAATAGCCTGCTGTTATTATAATGATATCCAGGTGGGGTATCTTGTGTGATTCAAGAGAGTGGACGAGGTCGCTGCCAGCATGTGGGGATTCGAGGTCGATGTTTGGAATGTAAGTGATATTGCTTGCTTTGGAAAGTCAGTTGATTTGTCACAACATTGTAACAGAACAAGGAGTCACTCACTATTCTCTGGGGGTTCTGACGTCCTCGCTGTAGCCAGAACGTGGTTGTTTGCGTCTGCTGCATATGTATCTACGATGCTCGCACCCAGGCCGCGAGTAGCTCCTACAACGCTAATCTCGGGTGTACAACCTCAGTATGCGTCTCACATGCAGCTCATAGAGGAACACTTACAGTATGGTAGGCATGTCAGCGGTAAAAATGATATAGTGATTGTTCGAGGAGTGTCAATCATAATCGAAAGGAAACAAGACATGACGCTCAAGGTGAAGCATCCTGATGACGTCGCACGCGGGTCGGATTGCGAGATGGCGCTAAGATAAGAACGCGTCGCGTTTGGGGAGCGCTCTTACCGCCTCCCTGGCTTTGAACTACTCTGTATGGCTCGCTTGGCACGGATGTCTTCTCGTGTCTGACAGCCCTGATCGTGTTAGCTGGAATAAGTTGTTTAGTCATTCGATATTGCGTTCATCTGCGTCTTGAGAATGAACCTCTACATGTACAATAGCGGAGACGAATTTACAAGAGGGAACCATGCAAGTGTTAGTCAGAGTATATTGTATCTGTGAGACACGGCAAATAAGACCATGGTGTAAACACGAATGACCGATGTTCGGATTGAATTTAGAAGAAGCTTTCTCCGACCCTAAAACTCCAACTACCAAAGCGACCGAGGTCCAAAGGCCTGCCAACATGAGGAAGTATCAACGTTCATGACCTAGCATCCAATATCAACGAGTGATGGTCAAAGTCATTACCTCCCAATGCGTATACATGCCCTTATGCAGTGGCTTTTCTTCGATATGAATTAAAGATTGAATAGGAAAGTGGATATTTGTAGGCTTGCAGGATGCAATAATAGAGAGAAAAATCAAGCTGAATACTAGGGACATGTCCAGAGAAAGACTCAGCGAACGCCGGATCAAGGGTAAAACTACAACAGAGGGCAATGTCGATATAGCTGCAGAAGAACGTCATTTGGCAGGGGTATGTGATCATCACTGCATGCGTTTCCGCTTGCGCGCGTCGTCCGGTTCATCTTCATCCGTGCGCTCCGCAGTTTCGGCAGGATTAAGTAGCGAGTGCACGTTGGATGCCATGCTGGATCGTCGAGTAGGTGGTCCAGGCGTGTCGATACCTTTAAAAGGGTACCTAGCTCCTGGTAACGTCCACCCACTGTCTGCGCTTAATGTCGATGGCATATTGTCACTTGACAATGGAGGGGTACCATGTCTTGACGACGCTTGCCGTGGACCGCGGGGTAGTTGGTATGATTCTAATGCATCACGGAGCTGCTGGTCACCTCCTCCGATAGGTGGGCGGTGAGGAGAGGAGGGCCACTGTGTCGAGTTGTGACCAGAAGCATAGGGCGAGTGAACTGGCCCACTAGGTGGTTGCGGTTGCCAGCCATGGGTGCGGATATCTGCCGAGGTGTGCCGCCTGTATAGATTATATGGTGGGGATGAGCTGCTTGGCAAGTTGCTTCCAAGGGTTGCAGCTCCTGGTTGCTGGACTGGTGGAGGAGGAGGTGGAGGTGGGGGTGGCTGATGTGAAACTGGGGTTCTGGCTGAAGATGGAGAGTAATTACCCGTGCCTATTGATCCGTACCGTCGGGGAGAGATTGCAAGATGCGCCGGGACCGGAGCCTTGTATGGAGCTTGCCGTGAGATACTCGCCAAGGATCCTCTTCGTGAGTCTATTAGATTGTCTTGTGGCATTTGCCGAGGTGAAAGAGGTGGGCCGTTGCTGGAGTCTACTTGCATAAAGTAAGGTTGGCGTGCCGATAGGGGTGGCTCTTCTGGTGGCTCTAGTGCTCGGAGCATGTCTGTTTGTCGAGCAATTTCACGTTGCATCATAGCCACTAGCCGGGTCAGTAGGTGTGTCGCGCAGATAGGGTTCAAGGATAGACACGTACCATCCCTGTGAATTGGATTTTCCGTGTCCGGCACCATCTGCATGATCAGAGTTGCGAGGTCTTGGTTCCACTGAGTTGTATATTAGCTGCTGTAGATCAGGTCGAGACAATCGACTTACCTGGTGGCACTTCATCATGCCCTCGGCTAGGACCGAGCTCCGTTGATTGAGGTAGGCACATGTGTCTTCTGACCGCTGCATGCGCGCGTGCATGTCATAGAGACTATGCTCAAGATTCTGGAGGCGTGACTCTGTAGGGTCCGGCATCGGCTCGACTGGCTGAGCAGCTGGTGGTCCAGTAGGCAGTTTGGGTGCGGAGAAGGAGTCGCGATGGATGAGGGCGTGTCTCGAAGCACGTCGCTTAATCTCTCGTAGACCGACTAGATCTCCGCGTTTGAAGTTACCATTGCCATGCTTGAACTCCCATAGTGGTGTGTCTGGAGATCCCGTGTGAAATACGTCGCTCACTGCAGTAAGCTGTCAGCATGTAATAGACAGGACAGCACAGAATACCTGGACACGCACCTTTGTGAAAGCCATACATGTTTAATTGGCGGACAAAAGAGGAGATGTTGGTGTGTTTAAAGTACGACCTGGGATGGGTTAGCTGGGGAGGTTGAGACGGCTGGACTCTAGATGCACGTACGACAGCACTTTCGAGAACTCGCTCGAGGGTGACATGACGAAGCTCTCGTTGGTGCTCGCCCAAGAGATGAGGTGCTGGATGCTCTGGTCCTCGAGCATGCTGTGTCGCGTTAGTGTCGCATCGCTTGCGTACTGTTGCGGCACACCCACTTGTATAGCTTGTGTATAAAGGCCGTCTGGACGACCTTGGGCTGCTGTGCGGCAGCGGCAGCGCCCACGGCAGGCGCCTGGTTGCCGTTGGGCGATGTGTTGCCCGAGTCTCCATTTCCTTCTCTTTGCGACTGGGATTGGAAGGAGCTTGTGCCGTTGCGATCAGAGGGTGGGCCCATGGTGGACGAGGTGGGCGTGATGTCCATGGGGTCTCTAGGCGGCGCAAGCGTCGAGCCAGACGAGGGCAGGATGGGTATCGACTTGTGGAGGTTGGGATTGTGTGGATCGGCGGAGAAGGGACTCCGGCGGGCCTCTGCGACAGAAGCCATGGCGTTGGGGTCAAGTGTGGAGAGCAGACGCCGTGGTGAGATGGCCCGCGGACGCTGGATGCAGAGGTTCTCCTGAGGAGTGTGTCGAAAAATGTGAAAGCTCTATGGATGCAGGGTCCCGATTTGCGGTGGGCAGCGAACGTGGTAGGGCGGAGAAGGTGCGGAGGAGCATGCGATATGTGTGGCCGACGTCGCCGCAGGAGCTTTGAATCGGCGGGCGCGCGCTTCTTGGAAGGTTCCTAGTCTTTGGGATTTCTTCTAGCGCCTGCGCGAACCGTACAAATTTGGTTCCAGAAAGGTCGGGGTGGCAGACGGTGCGAGTGGTCCTTTGTCGGATCGGGAGCGGCCGTAGCTGTGGAATAGGAGCTCGCACAGGGGGTCCAAGCGTTCTTCTACGCCGTTTGACACGCTTCTCCAGGGCACAATTCCATATGCTGTGTTTGAGCGCAGCGCCGTCGAGGGCGATGGAGGGCTTGGCGGGGACGAGGAGACGACAGCGATGTGCGAAGGGCTGTGTCGCAAAACTGGCACGGCAGCAGTCGAGGGCGGAACGGTAGCGCTGCCGAAGGGGAATTACGGGGGATCGATGAGGTTGGAGCGTGCTACGGGAGCCAAGTGTCATCCATCTATCTATATCTATCTATGCTACTCGTGCCCGACCGACACGCCAGCGCCGGGTGACTGTCTGTCCGCAGTCGGATTTGCTACTGCTGTAGGGCAGTTGGCATGCATCTCACCCTCACGGCAAACACTGGCGGCCATGGCGACGCTTGCATGCGTCCACCACCCCTGTTGTCGGCCAGCTGCAGGTCGAGACACTGAAACATCGCTCGACCATAATAACCCACCGCTAATATCACTATAACGCGAACTGTTTCTGCTGCGGGGGTCAGCGTATAATGCGGCTGATATGCCTATCCTTACACCGCGTTCCCGTGATGCGGATGCGGTCAAGTCGCACAGATTGGCATACGGCACCATCGCCAGACTTGCCTCTCTGGCAAACTCCCATGCCCACTGTCAAACTCCCTCGGCTTTGCTTTTGCTATCGGGCCCAGGGTCCAGGGTCCGCAGGATTGGCTAGCCGGCCTACCCGCACAGACGTTCACAGAGACGTCAACCACCAAACCCATATCGAGTCAGCACTCGACCGACTTTCCCCAGCCCACTTGGAAAACGTTAGGCGCTACCCCAGAGCTACTGCTCGCCCGTACCACGCAAAGCATATGATTGCACGACTCGGCTCACGCATCGCTATCGATAGCTCTGCTTGTCCGTCGCTCACTGATCGACAGCAAATCCAATATGGCCACTGACTTCATCAACGCATTTCGACGCCTTCAGACACACGAGAGAGGCCGGGCGCTCCAGGACCTAACAGCAGAACTATCAACCTATGAGTGGAGAGCACTCCATGCCGCAACCAGCAGCCGCACCTTTCAATTCGACGTCATCGGCAGTCTGCCAGTTGAGCTAGTGGCTCAGATATTTTGCCTCTTGGATCCTGCTACTCCATATCGCCTCCAAAGTGTCTCCAAACGATGGCGCGATACCCTCCGGAGTCTACATGTCCTCAAAGCAAGCCTCAACCAGTGGTATCAAGGTACTGTCAATCTTCAAGATGCTGAATACGCCCTGTGTAAAAAGAAAGCTCGCGATATACATGCTTTTCGCACTGGCAAGCCGAGTTGTATCTACAAAATCATTCCCAAATACGATTCCGACGAGTCACTCCTTCCTAGCAACCCGATCTACGATTTCAAGCTGGTAGGCAGTAGTCTCATCTGGCATCACGTATTCCACCGCGATGTGACCCCATCACGCTCCGCTTGCGTGCTGGACCTTGATACATGGCATCTCCGCATGTTGGGCGGAGAAGCACGTGAGCAAATCATGAATGTCTTCGCATCTAGTGAAATCGTGGTACTGACCACATATGCAAACGTTTGTTACGTGCATGAATTGCGAGGCAAACAAAGCTGCAAGAAGTTCAGAGTACCAAACAGGAACTACCTCAAGAACGTTAGCTGTCGTGGACGCACTGTCGCATGTGTTGCCTATGTCGACCACCACACATCGGTGTATATCTGGGAGTACGATTCGCAGCGTGGCAGGACGTTTGAGATCAGGCACGAGTCGGGGAACATATTCCTCAACCCGCGGTAGGTGACTTTCTGCATATCCTAAACCTGAACCGTGCCTGTCTTACCAAACGACATCTATGCAATAGTCTCGGCCATTTTGGTTTGTAAATCTAACTCGTGCTCAGGAGACACGATTCATACATTCTAGCTCCTCTTGTTCAGCCCAAAACCCAGACGATCGTCATATTTACCGGAGCTTCACGTAGTCCTACACCTTGTCAGGGCCCACGAGATTTCGAATTTCGTCGCTACACGTACCGCGGAGAGTGTATTAGCACCCATCGTGCACGCCTACCTGATTTTGATGGCGCCCTAGGATTTGAACGTCCAGCCATAAACGGCTTTGTTCCAGTAGACTACAAAGAGTCTATCTTCGCGATATACATGCACCATTATGACATTGCTCAGGGGGAGATGTCGCTCTTGCTACGGTTCAATGAGGAGGAAAATGACCTAAGTGTTTGGCAAGGTCCAAAATACCAGGGTAAGCAAGGCTCATGGTGGGATTCACTGGCATGGTGGAGAGACACCTGCTATGGTGATCTTTGGGATCATGAGGCCGAGCAGCGAGACATGGTTGCTCAAATGGGTACTAGTGATGCCAAACGCTACGTGCCCGTCGTCTGGGACACGAAGGACTTCAGGAGGACCCTCGTTTGGGAGAAGTTAAATTCGCCTATCGTGATGAACGAAAAGTACATTGTCAGGAATACGGTGTTACATTTCTATATACTCTGTTTCGGCGATGATGACGAAGGCCAATGGCCGAAGAAGAGCGGAACACTCTTTGATATGTGGGAACTTGAGGTGTTAGATATAAATGTATATTGATATATACACTATTTGTAGTCAGTCATGCATGATTGCAGACCTGCTGCTACTAACGGTTTCACAACCCATTGCGTGCATGTGAATCATCGAACCACGCCTCATCTGATTGGCTCACAGGAAGGTTGCGGGGCACAAGACACCCCACCTTGGATTTTCGGCGTACGCCGCTCTAGCCTTGCCTACTCAAGTAGGTAACCATTTCGACTCTGCCGCGGCGTGACAGACTTTTTTTTTGCAAAAACAATTCTACTCCGCCATTCAACTCATATACCACTTTTTACGCTTCAAGGCCGTAGTTAAGAATACTGTCGCGAAAATGGTCGAGAAGGTCTACGTCACATACAACCAGGTACGTGCAGGATGAAATGTTACACATGCGATCAGACACCCCGCGCACACACACGCGCATGTGGTATGCTTGTGTACCGCAACCAGTCCGCGGGTATACGACACGAGAACTGGTATCGCCTTGACGCGGCTGTTGCAGCAAACACCTCCAGAGACTCTACCTACGTCCCCACGTATGCGACTATGACGAACCTGGAGCCCTTACACAATATTCAGTAAACAAAATACGCAGAATGCAGCTGACATCCTCCCTCCCTCCAGGTCCACAAGCTCTGCCAAGAGGCAGCAGACCAAATCCTCAATGAGTTCCAGCCTAACCTTATGATCGCCATTGGCGGTGGTGGTTACGTCCCTGCGCGCATCCTTCGGTACGTAACCTCCAAGTTCCATTTCAAGGCCTCCGAAACCAAGAACCCCTCAGCTAACAACCTCTTCAGTTCCTTCCTCAAGAAGCCCAACAGCCCCAACATCCCCATCCAGGCCATCGGTCTCTCCCTTTACGAACAACTCGGCTCGGGTCCCGACTCTGAGGTCGAAACCCCCGGCACAAAAGTAACACGAACCCAATGGCTGGACCTCTCCTCTCTCGAGATGGCCAACCTGATCGGCAAAAACGTCCTTATCGTCGACGAGGTAGATGACACACGCACCACCCTCGAATACGCCGTCCGCGAGCTGGAGAAGGATGTCGAGACCGCAGTCAAGAAGCTCGGCCGCGAGGGCGAGAAGACAAACTTCTCAATCTTCGTCTTGCACAACAAGGATAAGGCGAAGAAGGGTCAACTGCCTCAGGAGATTCTCAAGGGCAGGTATTGTGCTGCCAGGACAGTTGGAGATGTTTGGATCAACTACCCTTGGGAGGCTACGTATGTTCTGCTTCCTTCTCCCTCTCTTTCTCTTCAGCCTTTCACATTTGGATACTAACAATCGGGTAGCGACATTGACGAGCACGACCGTTTGTCGAGGGAGCAGGAGAGCAAGCAATAAGTGTTTATGTCGAAAGAGGACATTGGATAGCGAGGGAAAAGCATGATGACATTTAGGCATTCGATCGAGCATTTACGGATGGGATATACTGGAGTTATCTGGAACAAGGATCGGAACCGGGTTTGGAATAGAACAGCATCAAATCCAACGAGTTACTACATGGTCTTTCTCCAAACACGACAAGTTGACAAACAGCAGATGCGAAGATGAGTAATGATACAACGAACGAACTGGGTATATTGATTGACTGATGAGGGTCATAACATCGTAATCATTACCCAACAAAACGTCCATCCGAAGCCATGCTATGCTACGACAGTAGCCTGTCTCAATCCTTCTACTTTCTGCAATCTCTCCGTCTCAACTCGCCCACACAAAGGGTATATCATGATTATTATACAAGAAGAAACAAGCATTTCAAAATACCCCAATAACCCCGCCATTTTTAGTCAACGCCAGATGATGGAAAACGCTGCAAACGTATATGTAAGTATGAAAAGCACGGTCGACGGCATTGGACTCGTGCTAAACGTCTAGTTGGTTATTTTTGGAATGGGCAATAGAAGTCTCGCTTCACTTTATGCCCATCTTGCGGAACTTTCGGGATGCGCGACGGCGTAGGCCGTTCATGCCCATGGCCTTCCGGAGGCTATCCCTGTCTCCGTCTTCTTCGTCCTCCTGTGGTACGCCGAGCAGTCTTCGACCGTTCGTGTTCTTGACAGAAGTTTGATGCGCTATGATGTTCTGATCGCGCCAGAACATTCGTTTTTGGTCAATGACGTTCTGCGACAGATTTCCAAATCCCTTCTTCACGAACGCCAGATCGTGCAAGATATTCGGGTCGAGGCAGCGCCTAGGTAGTGTCTGCACGGCCATGAAGATCTCGCCATCACCAGGACGGTATTTCCTGATTTCGGGTTCACCGAGCTTGAAGATGGCAAGAGCGTAGCGGTATAGGGCACGTGGTCCTTCGTAGAGAAATGCGTCCCAGACGCGAAGTACGGTCTCGATTGGCAGGACACCGACGAAGATGCTCATGAACCAAGAAGTACAAGAGAGGGCGACTGTGGGTTGTCGTTGGAACTTCGAGTTGGGATGAGCGTTTGAGCCAGCGCCGCTGTTGATGAGATCGGTGTCGTTGATCGACGCCCACACCTTTGGCAGATAATCCTTGATCAACATCATAAGTACGTTGACTTCCGTGTTTGCCAGGCTGCGAGCATGGGCACCCGGGAGATGGTTTTGCGTGATAATAGTGAGAAGGATGAAAACCTTCTCCTTGTCCTGCTTGAGAAACAACAGAAGAAGACCAGCAATAAAGTTGAGAGACTGGCAGTAGCCAATGTTGGGATTGTTCAAAGCAAAGCAAGAGAGCACCTCGCGCAGGTCTTGAATCAATGCTGGCTCGTCGTCAGACTCGCCGTCGAGTAGATCAGTTGCTGGTTCCGGACGGAAATGAATGTTGTCGGGGAACGTCCTGTCGAGGTCGCGTTCAATTGCATCTTTGTCGTCCTTGTTGAGCTCGTCTTGGTTGACGCGAGCTACTAGAGACTTGTACAGACCGACATTTTCCTTCTGTGTAATCATGTGCTGACCACCAGAATAGAACCACCACATTGCACCTCTCCACTCAGGGGGATATCCTTTACGAGCGTATCGTTTGACCTTTTCGCACATATCAGGGAACCTGGTTGGCTCATTTGTCGGCAGACCTTGCTTAGCCATCAGGGAGATCCATTTGCCTCTCCTGCGGGAGATATGCTCTTCGTATCTGGAAGCCCACGCGTTATACTCCTGAACGTTGATCTTGTCAGAAGCCTTCTTGAATCCATAGCGGTCTCTCTCCACAGGCGCAGCCGTCTTTCGCAGACCAGGCATTATCACAGTCGTGACGTGCTGGTTGGGAGGTGCTAACGTGGGGGTTCTCGGAGTCTCAGGCTTGCTCTTGGTAGTTGTAAGTTGAGACATCATCCCAAGATCGAACAACGCGCTCTTCCGGTCGAACACACTCGTCGAGGCGCGGCGGGGAATTGCCTCGTCTTCATCCAGCTCGGGGAGCGGCTGAGATCTCTGCATAGGCGGAGATTGAGGCATATGGGAACTGGCCAGAGATTCATTAGAAAAGGTACGTGGAACGCTTGGTCTCTTGCTATGTCGCTTGGAGTAGGCCTCAATGTTAGCCCAATCCTGGCGTGAAAGTCGGGATCGGCTAGGCGGCAGTTGTGGAAGTCCGGATATATCGCGGCGAATGTGATCGAGTTGTGAACGGCTGCCATTCGATTTCCTCGCGTGGTGTCCCTTGGTTTCTGTGGTCCTGAGCGCCAGAGCTTGCAATGTAACAGATACACGCCTGGGTGCTTCTTCACTTGTCCTTTTTGGTACGCCTGACTGTCTCTTCTTGGACTGCTGCACTACAGCTTGAATTGTTCGTGGTGTATATGCGGCCTGAAACGGGCTGATTTGTACTGAGGGCAATAACTCGATACGTAACGCCTTTCGCTCGGCGGGATCCGCGTTGTATGCCTCATCCAGGTCCGACCCAGAGGGTGGTCGAATCGTCAACAGCTCCTTCGAGTCGACATTGGTTCCTAGCTTACCATTCAAGCTCTCGTTGGACTGGAAGGAATCTAATGAGTCGAAATCGCGAGATGGTGTCTGCGATAGCTCAGGAGGCTCTGAGTCAAGACCTACTGGCGAAGGGCTTTGCAAGTCTCGTTCGCCCTGCTCAATTATAGGACTGCGCTCTTCATCCTCCTCGTCATAATAGTAGGAATCCAGCACGTCGCCAACAGGGTCTACGTATTCATCTTCCTCGGCAATTTCGGAAGTCTGGATTGTTTCTGGTGAGCCGTCGCGTTCCCGAAGACGGTCTCTCGATGGGTCCCTCGAGTAGAGGCTATTTTGCCGATCACTGGCGATAGAGCTCCGTGCGGTGGCAATACTGCTTCTTTCTGTACCGCTGGTTTCTAGTATACTCGAAGACGCATTGGTCCACCCAGACCTAAAACTGGCCCGTGGCTCTTCGCCGCGAAACGGTCGAGGTGGAGTAGGATAATAGTCGTTGTGGGCCCAATTGGGGGCGCCTCTGTTGGGTTTGTAGGTGCCAGATAAATTAGCGCGCCCGGTGCCTCCATATTGGGCGTAGTCGGGAACAGATGTCACTGATCTTAAGGGAGGAGTTGGTTGGAAGGACTGCTGCGAAGAGCCAGTCATCCCGCGGGGTCTGAAAGGTGAGGCAGGTGACCCAGGCAAATCCTCGTTGGAAGAGTCCCACGACGGCCCAGTCGAGTTGACAGGATTGCTGGCCAGAGGGTTGAAAATGGCGCGAAGATCAGGCGAACGAGGGCCGCTATCTGGGCGAGCCATTGTATGGGCCATTATTGGGGACATTGGGCCTTGTACCATTCCAGCTTGGATGTCATTAAGAGAGGAGGGTACGGCAGCATGGCGGAGGAGGGAAGGAGCTCGCTGGCGTTGGGCGAATTTGGGGGAAGGCAGTGCCGCAAGCGGAAGGGACGGGCTGTCTGCAGGCGATGGGCTGTAGACGGGGTGCTCGTATGGCGGCGCGTCTGCTGTGTCCATCTGGAGCTGAGCTGGCTGCTTGGACCGATGTAATCCGAATCCCCTCTTCGCCGCGTACGGCATCTGCGGTTGCGGAGACGTTGGGGGAGTGTATTCGGTAGTGGGTGACGTGTAGGGAGCGTGTGGCTCTGGGCTCCTGTCAGCATCAGCTACGGGCGAGACGCCTGTAGCGACACGTAGAAGAGCGTCGCCCATTGTGTGGTCAACGGGTGCAGAATGTGGTGGTGTAGGTCAGCGGAACAGGCGCTCATTCGACCGGAGAATAGGACAGCTTGGATTTGGTGATTCGCGGTAACATTCTCGGGTGCGAGTTGCAGGCTACGAAACGAGCGTGAGTGGTTGTCGTGAAACGGCGTGGATTGGTGTCGAGCCTGTGGAGAGCCTGCTCTGGGGCGTGGCGGCGATGGCGGCGGCGGCGGCGTTGGCAAGCAAAAAGCAGTCGGGGCAGTGAACGGGTAAAGTGAAAGAATGAGGTCGGGTTCGAAGGATAAGGAACGTGGTATGCCGCACTGGCGCGGGTGCAATCAGACGGTGGTGAGGAGATGAGTGCGGCCAAAGTGTAGCAGGAAAGTCTCCTTCAGGTGCAGCGCCTGGATCCGTCCGTCACTGACTCTCTGCCAAGACGCGGCGCTTCCCTCATCCCCGATTCCTGTAAGCTGGGAGGTCGCGGGCCGGTAGGAGCTTGGTGGACCTCTGTGGGCTTGTTAGAGGAGTTCGTTACTTTGACATGCAACGGCACAAATTAGGAGAGTTGCATAAGCGCTGCAACAGGTACCGACGGCCGGCAGCCTCGCGACATTGACGCGCTCCCGGCCAATCAGCCGCGGGCAGACTATTGAAACACGGAGATCACAGCAATTACCAAGCAATACACCTTGTACAAGATTACCTTGTCTGTCCGCTCGCTCGATGCATGGCGAGCAGGACTCACAGCTCCCAGGGCGGCTCTCTCGGATTACATGATGCACTATTTGCTTTGCTGGAACACTTGCGAGGGACTTCTGAGGCGCGTGCCACACGCTTTGTTGCGCCTGACTCGCTAGCACCGCGCCCTTGGCCCTGCACTCACAGCCTCCAAGCTCTCACCCGAAGCGAACAAACTTGGATGGTCGACCTGCCTAGGACATAACAATCTCAGATAGGAAGTGCACTAGGCGGTGGAAGCCTTTCTCGGGCTTCGAGAAGGAAATTTTCAGGTCCCCCCCTGGTAATATGCTGCGGCTCGCTTCTGAGAGCACTGGCATGGGAGATTTGAACATGACGACATGTTGCGGTTTGAACTCATCTTATTTGGTGAACCTGAGTAAGTCTACCCTGCATCAATCGCCCGATGCCTGGCTAAGTCGTGCGTGCATCGCGATCTGCAAAACATTGTATGCTTCTTCGCCCACACCGGTCAAGACGGGTTCCGTCCGCATGCAAATTTCGCCGAACGCCAAAGATGCAAAATGAATATGTATCCGTCAAGCTCTGTGCTGCCCCAACTGATGCCCACGTCCGCCTGGCTGGTAAAGGACCCGTGAGACCCCTCACTTGGCGTAGCGCTTGACCCAGTCCTTTGCGTTCTTCTCAAACTCCTTGCGGTTCTCCCGGTACTCGTTGGCGATGGACGGCTCAATCGCGTCGTCCGGGTTGGGCTCGATGAGCAGCGTCTGGATTAGGCGGAGCACCGACACGACCTTGTTTGGCGGCTTCCACTCATCGGCACGCAGCAGACCCAAGCACATGGACCCCTTGTCGTCGTTGCTGACGTTTGGGTGGTAGATCTTAGTTCGGAAGCTGACGACGGGTGGCTTGAAAGGGTATTCGGTCGGGAAAGTAATCTCGAGCTTGAAATGCCCGCCCTGCATAGCTGTTAGCAGGCGCTACCGAGAGCACACGGAAGGCGCATGGATCAGACAATCCAACATACCGCGTAGGCCGACTGGGCTGGGCCATCCATCAACACTTCCCACTTGGTCATGTTCTGCTCGTCGAAGTTGATCTTCATACCGGGCGGTGTGTCAGCCATGCACTCGCCGTACTCCTATCATCTTGTTATTAGTACACTTGGTTCTGCGCCAGGGCAATTTGGCTTGCCTTCATGATACGCTTCTTCGCTCCGGTGCTCATGGTTGCGATTAGTTGGTGTGGATGCTCTGTTAAGTTTGGTTGAGACTGTCTACGGCGACGCGGTAGGCGGTGTAGTTGAAGTAGTCAGACAGAAGCAGGCGCCCGCTGTGAATGTACAGGAAGAGCGACGAGTAAGAATAGAATGCAACAACTTCACTCTCCGTGTAGGTAAGTGGGATGCAGTGGCAGGTGATGGACGTGAAAAGAGGGTTGTAGATGTGGGGAAAGTTGCCTATGGATGACGAGGGACCTTGGATCCTTAGTCAAAGCTCCGCACGCGGCCCGGAAGACGATCGCCTTCACACGTTCTGGTAGCAGGGACACGCTAGAATTCACACGTTGTTCGTTCCATATCTGTCTCTTGTTTGCATCACGTCTTGCTGAACTTCACTCGAGTGTGTGAAAACACAACGACGTCATACCATCACCAGGGAACGGTAGTATCGCTACTTTGCGCCTCATTTGCGAGTGCCGAACATCAAGGTGCATCCCCGTCACCACATCTTACCAAGACTCCCATGTCCTTAATCCACACTTATATCTCCGAGACTGGACATCCTCGACAGTCATCTAGAACACGTGGTTTTGACCTCTTTGACGGGCTAATGTGTTTCACCTTGGACTTGACAGCTGCTAGACGCTTACGACTGGCTTACTGACCGACTGCAAGGCGAAGACCACGATAAGGACCGCGACGCATCTAGCAGCAGCAGCTACAGTCCCTGAACACGTAGGCCACGCATTTGCTCGCTTCACCACTAGGCATAGCGCATAAGCGCAGTGTTATAGTTCGGAGCTCTGAACCTACTTCTGCATGTTGTCCCCGATCTGCAAAATCTTCCTGAATCTAGACTTGGGCGCGGTGCATTGCAGTACTGGACATTTTGTCACTCATTGCAGCCACTATCTTCGTGAGTCACAGAGGCCGCCCAGCAACCCCAGGTCACGTTACACCGCGATAGAGACGTGACGCGCACACAACAAACGGTCCGACCAAAACGGCTTTACTTACAAACTTCAGCTCCCTGTCCATGCTAGCTTTTTTTTCGCGCCTCGAATCTACATCGCTAGGTCCAATACACCATATCGCGTGCTATTCGTGGCTCGCTTACTGTCAATCCTCAGAGGAACTGCCATGTTCCACGGTCTTCCATGTTTTCAGAGGGCATCAAATGAGGAGGTGCAAACAATGACGCCTCGCAGCCTGATAGACATCTGCTGCAGCCCAGCATGCAGCAATGGGCGAATAGCAATAGGAATATGCATGTAACATAGCCCCAGCCTGCCAGCGCTAGTTGTCCAGGCTACAGGGGCACCGACTTGGCATCGTCGGTATTTAACAAGCTGCGACCCCACAACTTGAATCTTTACGCCTCACGACAAGCCTGAGTTCGACAACCAAAGCGTGCTTTATCTTCACCACCAGTGTTGGTAAACTCGCTAAGCTCTTCGGATTTTCAACGACTTTTCTCCCCCGAAAGGTTTGCGAAATCTGAGAGTTTCCGGAGCTCCCATTTCTCTCATATGAACGCTGCGTCACACTAACCTGTCCACTCTTTACGAGAAATTCCGTCGCTCGCTACTTCGATCTCTCTCTTCGGTCAAGATGTTCGGCAAACGCTCTTTCGCTAGCTCGAAGGAGAAAGACCGTTCAGGCAAGATCACCAAACAGCCGAAGAGATCGTTCCGCGATGCGTCTAAGCAGAAGGTCATGGCCGAGAAGCTGGATACGCGCAAGGACAGTCCAATGATGGATGGTGGCTCACCAGCGCTCACCTCTTCCATCGTGACAGTCATCGTTGGTTCCGACCAGCGACTGTTCGCTGCGCACGAAGATGTATTAAGTCACTCTCCGTATTTTGCTGAACTGCTGCGGGGCCAGTTCTTCGAGTCCGCTAATCGCCGCATCGATCTGCCCACGGAGGAACCTGAGATTTTCAGTTGTATCCTCGAGTATTTGTACAAGGGCGACTACTACCCACGCCTTGTCCAAGACAAGCGCCGCCAGACCTGGATGCTCGAAGGTGCAATTGCCTCACCCGACCCAAACAAACCCGGCGACCGCGCAGCTGCTGTCGAGCCAACTTTTTTCCACTCCGGCGTAGGAGACGTCATTCTCCGCGACACAGCAGTCTACTGTGCAGCTGATCGCTACGGCCTCGAAGAGCTCAAGAAGCTCTCTCTGCGCAAGCAGGGCCTGCAGAGCGGGATCGAGGTCGGAACCATCTTACGCAGCGCTCGCTACGCGTACGAGAATACGCCGGATAGCGACTCGCGGCTGCGCGCTCATTACCTCGCTCTGATTATCCGCAGTCGGAAAACTTTCAAGCGTAGTGGCACCATGCAGATGGAGATGGAGATGGGGGGAAAACTGTTCTTTGACCTGTTCGTGGCTATGTGCAATCATGTCGATGATCTTGTGGACGCGAGGTACGCCTTGCGCCTCTCTGTTCTACCCTCTTTTGAAGATTCTTGCATATTGTGATGTTGATCTCGTACTGACAATCCGGCAGCGCCTCAGCCCGCGGCACTCCTAGGACCATCTAAAGACACTGATTCGCACACCCACTTACCCGTCACCGCAACACCCGCAAACAAACACACCTCGCATACAACCCCGGAGTACACACCAAGTTGGAAACCACATCTTACTCCGCTCGCACATTCAAATTGCCGACCAGCGACAAAACGTGAAAACAACCAAAAACATTCGGCGTACCGTTGTATCATCCCAACTCATCTTATCTCTCTTGCTCGCTCTCTTTTACTAGTGGAGTTTGCTTACCCCTATCGCGTTCCCCCTGATCCTTAATTCAACGATATCAACGAGCTCTTCCCCTCTCTGCTTGCGGAGAGAGTACACGACGACGAAACTGTGTTTCCTTTGTTTTGTGCTTTAGGGAATCAAGCGCTTGTTGTATGAATACCAAGGAAAAGAAGGGACATTCGTTTTTGGAAACATGGTGCTGCGTGGATCAGGAAGACATCGTGCTGGAGAACACCACTCTCTGGTGGAGACGTGTTCGATGCGGTGACAGATTGATCGAGACCGCTCGAAAGGTTCTGACTGACTGTGGAGGATATCTTAGTGGTGGCAATAATGAGAAAACCTTTGGCCGCCGCTAATTACTGCGCTGATGCTGATGTGATATGATGTCCAACTTGACCATGTTTACCACTCTTCTCACGGGAGTATCCATCTTCTACGTACCCACCTCAAAGGCACCATCAACCAAGCTCCAGAACTCCTCAATAATTTCCTTTTGTCCTTCACCCCCTCGTACAGCAAGATACCTCTGCCCCTCAACCTCTGGATTCCAGTTTCCCGGGTTTGCATCAACCACCATGCCGCCGGCTTCCTTCAAGATAACCCACCCAGCACAAACATCCCATGCCCAGCATCCCGCTTCCCAGTAGATGTCCAAACCTCCACTCGCAACCCCACACAGATTCAGCGCCGCCGAACCAAATGATCTCAACCCATGTACCATGCCACCCCCATTTTCCTTTGTGGCTGCCAGCTTCTTGAAAGTCTCACTCTTGACCTTGAAGTCATTCCCACTCCGGTCGCTGCCCCACTCCACAGCAACCAAACAGGTATTCAGTGTCTCCAGCGGCGTTGGTGGTGATAGTGGTAATTTGGTCGTTTGATTCAGATACGCGCCTTGTCCTTTTATCGCAGAGTACAAAGTTTGTGTGAATGGGTTGTACACGATTCCTACAGTAGGCTCACGCTCTATCGCCAGACCGAGTGAAATGCTAACGTAAGGGTATCGGTGCACAAAGTTCGTCGTTCCGTCGATGGGGTCACAGATGAATGTCGGTGCTGCGGTAAGTTTGTCGCCGGGCTTCTGAAGATTGGTGTCTTAGATCAGTAGCCGTCTCATATGCAGTTCGTACGGGAGCATTACGTATGTTTCTTCGCCCATGAATTCATAGTCTGGATACTTCTCGCGGAGGGATGTCGAAATGAGGTTCTCGACGGCGCGATCAGTTTCGGTGACGAGATCGACCGCTGCAATCCAATTTAGTTAGTACTGGCTGTTTTGATAATACAAAATCCCACTTCGTTTATCGCCACATACAGTTCTTCTTCGATCCTGAGCCTTGAGTCGTTGGTCTTGCGGAGACGATGCGTTCACCGGCTTGTTTGGCGATAGAGATCATGAAGTCGTGGACTTCTTGTAGGTTGACGCCAGCCATCTTGGATATCGATCGGTTTGTTCTAACAGTTTGCGATTGGAGTGTGATAAATTGAAGTAGACTTTTTTTCGATGATGTTGTAGCTGCGCTCGATAGCTTTCAAACGTCAGAGCTACCTAAGTGCCCCTCGGTGGGGCGGCCTAGAGTTATGTATGCAGGGTCCGCCACGTGGGGAAACAGCAACTTTTAGCGGTTGACATTAGAATTCCTAACAGACTATCCCCAAGAAGCACTAAGTGTTGGTCAGAAGACATACGATTAGTATTAGATAGTGATCACGAGATGGATTTACTATTCATGCACGAGTATTAAGCTTGAGGTGCAACATCAACTGTCAGCCACACAACTACATGATGCCGGAATCAATGCTGACATACATTCAGTAGAGAAAAAATGGAGAAGAAGCATGATTTGAGCCTTTGCATTGTCGAAGAAAGCATATACCAAGCCGATAGTATGATAGCCCGACAAACGAATAGCGACCGTAGCCAGCAAACCTGGGGAACACCAAACTCCAGCCCATATGTACAGCCAATTGAATCTCCCACTCCTATTTACACTTCAACATTCCCTTCCAGATCTAGAATCCGTATCCGAGCCAGCCGATAGTGTTCGAGTACACACTTAGATTGTCACTCCACTTGGCCTTGTCGACTCCATCAACTGTAACCATCCATTCACTACCCACCTCACTCAGTGCAAAAGCCTGCACACTGCTAGCACCCTCGATAGAAAAGACACGACTCTGGCAGTTGCGGAATCCATTCGGTGCGTCAGGACTTGAACATCCGACGTTGTAGTTGCGGAAGAAGGAGTACAAGCCGCCACCGTAGATGAGCACGTTCTTGGATCTGAGCACGCGGAGGCCATAAGCTGATGCACCAGATGGGTAGACGGGGTCCGAGAAAGCGTCGGACCTGCCGTAGGGCTGGTTAGAGGCATCAGGTGTGGGCATATAATACGGGGTTTCCGTTTGGATGAAGCCCGCGAAGATGTTCGATGCGTCGTTGAACTATCTACTTGTTAGCTTTTGCTCGTATTGCCATGTTACAGGATTGAGAGTGACTTACTTGGTACTGGTATAGCGCATGATGCTCCACGCCGTTAGCCCATAGCCACACGTTTTGCGCTTCGATATGCAGTCCGCGTCCGGTGAAGATGGAGATTTGTGTGGATCTTGCATCGTCCAAATCATGATCTGCTGTCCAGAACCAGTTGTTCTCGAAATACGCTCCGTTCGCGCCCTTGGTAACGTGCACGTTGGTATGCGCAGCCATACATTGCTGATTGACGGATCCGACAGTGGCAGGGCATAGAGCAACCTGCAGATTGGTACCATTGGAACCTCCGATACGGGTGTGAACATCCCAGACACCGGAGCCACGGTCGCTGTTGAGGTTGTATTGGATGACAATAGCTCCTGGAGTGGCACCTTGGGTTTGCACAATCATATCAGACCATTCGATGTGACCGCTCTCGCCGGGTTTGCCAATCTGCATGATGGGTACAGGGCTGTCTTTGTTGCCGAATGTGGCACCTGAGCCCATGATAGCAGAGAAGGTCTCACCGACCATTCGGGAGCCTGGCGGGACGTAAATGGTGTTTGTGACCCTGTAAACGCCATGTTCGAAGAAGAGAACCTACAAGGATGGTAGAGTTAGTATCTGGAAAAGAGATGAAGTGTAGTACTAAAGCGATTACGCACCTTGTTTTGGGCAGCGGCCCTGGTGACGGCATCCTGCACAGCCCTGGTGTCGTCGGTACGACCGTCACCTGTGGCTCCACTACCACGAGCACTGATGAAGTCACCAGTACCAAGGTTCTCGTACTGCGGCTTCGACTTGGAATAGTACTTGCCACCATCCAAAAGACTTCCTGGTCGAGCGACAGGAGAGATGTTTCCCTGGAATTTCTCTGGACCGTTCGCATTGGGAGCGTACTTGTTGCCCTGACCCCAAGCTTGGATAGTGAGCGTTCCACCTGGGAGGACAGTAGCTCCGTTGCCTACAACAGCGTTTGGCACGTTGTTGAGCTTGATGTTCTCGAGTATCAGCTGGCCAGCACCAATAGGCCGACTGGTCCTTGTCCACGCCATATCGACAAACTTCTGACAGTTGGTGATCTCAGAGTCGATAATGACAACAGAGCCGACCTCGAGTTTGTTGGCGGCGGCACCATTGCTCATCGAGAAGGCGGTTCCACAGTCGCTAATTGAAAGACCGGAGTACAACCAGCCCCAGTCCCAGATCTGAGAGATACCGGTGACAGCCTTGGAGATCTTGACATTGCGCATGGTGAACTGCTGGTTTCCAATGTTCATACCATATAAACCACCTTGAATATCAAGGTCAGCCATGTGGCCACCAGATCCGTTCTCAACGAAGATACCAGCATGTACCGAGTTTGACGCCTGGGTCATGCGGATCTTGACATTCTGAATAGTTGTAGCTTGCGAGGCAGGCCAGTGGATACCTTGGAAGCCACTGGTAGGTGCAACAGCGGTGCCATCGATGACCAAATTACGGATTTGTCGTAGGAAGATGTTGGTTGACGTCCAGCCAGCGTTACCGTTGCTGCCATAAGGACTAGCGTCGATGAGAGCAAGAGCTTGGAGAGTAGGAGCAGCCTTCAAAACAGGGAGACCTCGAGGGTTACCGATGAGTTGTGTCATGTAATAGAAGATGATGGGTTTGCTGATGAGGTAGGTTCCAGAAGGGATGTAGACCACGGCTGGGGAATCAGTGGCCGAGTCACACACGCCGGGACCGCAACGGTTCCCGTCGGAGATAGCACGGTTGATTGCATCGGAATCATCGGTAACACCGTCACCTGTAAGAGCGTCAATGGTATGTTGGAACACGAAAAGCAAAGTGACTTACCCTTCGCGCCGTATTCCTTGACGTTGCGGAAGACTTTGTAAGCGCTATTACCGTTGAAGGCAGCTCTTCCGTTGCCGGAGAGATCATTCAACCAGTATCCATCTGTGATAGCAGCAATTCCTTGGATGCTGCTTATATTTGATGCAGGATCAGTATCATTTGATACTTGTCTGCTAAACCGGGCTACGTAATGTCAGCCTTAAGTTGTAAAGGGGGGAGATATTTGCTTACATATAGCAGCACCCTGAATACCGACTGCACCGAGGCAGGCGATCAAGGAAGGTAAGTGCATGGTCGTAAGAATGTACCAGTAGACAATCCTATGTACAGTAGAAACACCAAGAGGAGGTGTACAAAGGAGTGTAGAGTATAGTAATAAAAAAGAGGTCTCAGGAGGGGAGATGATGATGTCTATTTAATACCTCCGTTTGTTTACTACCGCCCCTCTTGAGTGATAGGAGAAGATCCATACACCCACGCGATCAGTTAAGGATCTGCCCCTACGAAGCCTGCCGACTGGCTAACGAGGAACATCCGGTGATGAGGAAACCTCACCGACTGCCACTTAGAAGGTCATAAGGGCCTACCGCATACTGACTCACTAGGCGGCTACCCCCGTTGCCGTTTGAAGGGGTTACATAGCTCATTTCGGTTCACAGTTCGAGATGTCTTAGTCTTAGTAACGTAGTCTGGGGACTGGAAGAGCGCGTACTTACACCCTTCCCCTTCAAGCCAAATCTCCGAAGAATATTTTGCTTTGTTTAGCCATTTGACAAGCTTAGTCCACCTTTCCGTTTGTCGCAATCTGTCGCTATGATGCACAAAAATTGCAGCTTTCACCAGAGGTTGAATGGTAGCGGATGCTGAAATGCAACATGCCTTTCGACATACGTCTTGAGTAAGCTGCAAGCAGAGAAGGAGCTGTGATGAGACTCAGGGGATTTACAGCTAACCTTGATAGGCACTGGTCATCGGGTCGGCCCTACGCATATTTCTTCTGTGAAGTGCTGTCCAGTGACAACGCAAGCACCTATTAAAGCATGTGATGAACACTAATCCTAAGACCAGAGCGAACGTCTCTGCGATTGGCTCCCCGGTCATGAATGCTAGAACCCCGGGTTTGCGCCATCTACCGTAGTTCGACGGCGACGCCTGAATGTGGGGTAGTCCTGGATAGTAGAGCCATGCGTCGCACTGCATGGGTCTGCCCTATGATCTTGCCCTGCAGCATGAGCCTCAAGACCGCGTGCTCCTGTTAGTTCCTTCTTGGACGTCAAGGCACTTACTTTACACCGACTGTACAGTGATGGGGCAAATGCAGGGAGTCTTGTGAGACTGTCGCAAGACAATCAACCTCAAGACCAGCCCGACATCATTGTTTGGACCTGCCTGATCGGAACAAAGTCAGTTTGAAACGGCACCAGTAAAAAATTTGCAAATGACGGCGACGTCAGGCGCATGAACGTTCACTGCGGAGCATATGGCGTCGTTTGTGGACTCGGGCATGCCCAGGCCTGGGCATGGTAGAGCTTTAGTTGGGTTAGAGGCTGATCGAGCGCCGTACTCTAGAGAAGGATTTCCTGTGTGCATGCCTTGGAGATTGCAACATCGCAAGCGCCGGCTTGACTACCCCAGATCTTAGGAGCCAGGCCTAGACGACGGTCATGCACAGGGTAGATCATGTGGGTCAGGGTTGGATAGATTAAAAGAATATGGTTGTGACCAGTCATGTGGCCGGAACCCAGCTTGCACGTTCGGCCGATCTGCCACTAAGGGCTGGCGCCGCGCTCAGTAGCTTCATATGTCGCAAAACGTGAGCAGATGCCGATGTAATAGTCACAGAGTATGCGATCCAGGTAGTCAAGCGAACGTACGCTTGTAACTTCGGACAAAGTCGGTCAGCCTGATTGCGGTAGAAAAAGTTAGCAGCGCCAATTTCCAAGTACACGCCCGTCTAGTCACAGTATTGGAAGGTGGCTATGGTGATAGACGTTCAAAAATCGAAGTGTGACAGGGACTCTGTATTGCAGCAGGAAAAAGGGGTCGGGATTCGCATCAACAAGCGCAATGTCGTCCTGCGTAGTATCGCGGCATGCAATTGTATTGTGCGGTGTCGTACGACAAACATCTCGGCACACAGCCGTATACAAAAGATGGCCACGCGAGTGGTACGACCTCAAGATGAGAGACTGTATTCATGTACTGGTTTAGTACGCGCTACTTTGGTCGACGTACTCTTGAGGCTGGTCGGCGACCGGCATCCGAGTGAGGCCCATTTTGACAGGCGCTCCAAGGACATTCCGTAACACATTGTAATACTGTCGCATCACTAGCTGTTCACATGTAGAGCATGTGACAGTTTATAGCGACCTCATAGCTTGGTTGAAACCCTGATGAACAAGGCTTCGCCGAGCGTGTATATTGTACCGTTGCCGTCTTCGATGGTCGCACGAACGTATAGTTTCCGATCGCCCGCTTCTTGTCGCTCGATCTTGGCCGTAAGAAGAAGCGCACCGGGTGTCGGCACCGGCTTCTTGTAGGTGGTGTTCAGATCTGTTTGCGTTCAGCTTGTGTGTTAGAGTTGAGGCGCGACATGAACAAACAGGCGGTAAAGTAGTTCAAGGCAGCTGCGCGGCGGCCGTCCTCTGTTATTTTTTGCACCTTCCTCTCCATATTCAGCATGATTAAGATACCGCATATCTCGTCAAGTAGTGTCGCAGCACAACCCCCATGTATGATCTGTGGGTAGCCGTTGAGTCCGTCGCCTAGCTCCACGATAGTCTTGACCTCCTTGTATGCGATATCGCCATCTTCTTCGGTGATCGGTCGAAGCGTCAGAAGGCCTCGTATCGTGCGACCTGTACTTAGAGTTTCTGCAAAGAAGGAATCTTCCCCGGATGCCTTTGGTGTCCGGGAGGCAGTGTTGACTGGAGTCCAATTGGGGTCATTGATCAAGGCAGCAGCCCAAGGAACTGACGACAGTCGGGAAATGACGGCGTCTGTCATGGCGCATCGATATTCTCTGGGACAGGAACCTCCTGTATCGCTCCCGCAACGTTTATCGAGGACATGATTGTGGAGCTCTGGGGTAGGGAGATGCCGAGGTGCGACGGATCATGGGGATCGTCAGTGCTCAGCTCAGTAAGCCGCCGACGCAGCCTCATTCGTTCGTGGCTACGACAGACATTGATGCCTTAAGAACAAACAACAACAACACAGTCTGAGACCGATGTCTACTTTGGTAGATGCAACTCCTAACAACGAGTGTGGAAAGACTCAAATCTGACCCTAGTGCTTTCATGTGATTGCGCACCTCAATAATGCAAGACGTCATCTATACGCGCTAAACAATACGTCAAAGACACGCGAGCCGTGAACAAGTAGGAAGATCTCAAACTACGCCTATATTTCAATGATGTAGCTGCCGAGGTACCGGTAGGTCATAAGCTCCTCTTCCCCAGGTTCTCTACTCCGCAGTTGTAACATCACCAAACATATCTACACGGACAAACATCAGCAACAATGGTCGACACGTCGCATTCCAAATCCGTCCGCGGCACCCTATCAAACCCAAAGACCAAAGAAGCAATCAATTCCACCAAATCCACCCCCGACCTAGGGGATGCCACGAGTCTAAAACCCGCCAACGACGACAGAAAGTCTCTCCCATCAAATGATTCCGCTCCACCAGCCGGTCAAGGGAATGATACACCGTCTGCCTCCTCATCCTCATCTTCATCTTCAGATTCTGCTCCCACAGTCTCAGACCCTTATCGCAAAGCTGGTACAAGCGCTGGTGGCGGCGACAAAAAAGCCATAGGCAATGGCGGAAACGTAGAGGGTCGAAACATGGAAGATGGGAAGCAAGGAGGTAAGAAGAATGAGGCAAAGGAGAAACTTCCGCATAGCAAAAAAGTACGAGGTACACTAGCAAACGACGACGGGGCAAAGGTGAATAAGACGCAACTCGGCGATCCAGCGAGCTTGAAAGCGGAGACGAGCAATACGAGGGACATGGGGAGGCAGACGGAAAGGGAGGGGCAAGACAAGAGCGGGAAGAGTAAACTGTAGATCATGTGAAAGGAACGTGGGATTGAGATTTATATGTAGATTTGGTTATGTGAATTTAAGGTCGTCTACATCGTTACTGGGTATCTCTCTAATCTAGTCTATATGCTACAACCCCCATCGTACCTCTATTGTTCTAACTGCGACAATGCAAATGCATCGATAAAAATATTCTCAGCCCTCACTAGCTAGCCTCCGTTCTCTGAGGTGCCCACCCCTTGAGCCAGCTCCTCGCCTTGTCTAAATCTCCACCTTCAGCTTCCATTGCAGCAATACACCACTCTAGACCGTATCCACCTTTGCCCTCAATGCCCTTTTCTGCAGCAACCATCTCAGCCAGCGTTCTAGACTTCTGCGTCCTCTCGTCGACACAGAAGTGCAGCGGAGTGTCATAACCCTTCCCGTCCATGCCCTGCAAGAATGGCTTCACGAGTGGGATAGCGTCTTTAGTGGGTACAGACTTGTCTTCCTGTCCCAAGTTCTTACGGCCGGTGCGACAATACTCGTTCCTGCACCAAGCCTTCCCACAACCGGTAAGTAGCTGAGAGAGGTAGCGGCGCTCGATACGGCGGCGGAGTGCTTTGCCTTCTGGGTCGTGCAGAGAGACGTAGAGAGGTCCGAAACAGACACTGCACAAGCCAATCTCGTTGCCTGGGCCTTGACCTTTGCGCGTTCCAGCTCGTGTATCGCCTGCCTTGTTTGCACCATCTTGAGTACGGCCGCAATTAACGTTCCGACACATGCGCGGTGGAGGGCGGGATAGGCGTTCCAGATCATGATGTCGGAGATGTGTGTCCATATCCCTAAAGCGGACGATCTTGTTGCAGAGGTGACATTCTGTTGTTCGGCCGCCGTCTGCTAGTTCATGTGGTGTAAGACCGGAAAGGAGGAGTTCTGGGGACTGATCATTCGGATCACCTTCCTGTGGAACCTGTAGGTGACAGAAGCGGCAGAGAATCAGCTTGCCAGGACATACTGTAGTCTTGTGGTGTGAGAGCATGGGTATCGACGGAAAGTCCATATCGCAAGTCGAGCAAACCTGTGGCGTATGGTAGAGAGCATCGTGTTTCTGTCGACTTAATGGAGTGTTACCAGTGAAGGTATCGTGGGGACAATGCCAGTGGGTTTGGTAGGCAGGCGAACGCTTCTGAAAGACTTGTCCGCAACCTTGCGGGCAGAGAATGTTGTTTCTCAAACAAAAGTTCTCATGCAAGAAGAGTGAGCCTTTGGGCACTCGTTGTTTGCAGTTTTGACAAATTACTTCGTCTGGTCCCACCGTTCTATTAGACTCCAGAACATCTTCCACTTTATCTTCTGCCTCTGTGTTGGGATCGTAAACTGACACCTTCAAACGGAAGGGTTTGGGTGTGTTTGAGGGTGATTCGGATGGGTATGCGTGAACTGAAATCCACACAACTTCTGCATCGTCGAGTTCGACATTTGTAGACCGCAGGCGTATGCGTTTCGGGTACTGGCTTGCTACGTCTGCAAAGACATGCTCGTCTTCCCGTGGGCGAGCTCTTTGTCGTGATGAATATGGACTGACGAATAGATCGATCTCATCCTCATCGTCCACTTGATCTAAGACAATTTCCAAGCCTCGAGATCTATCCCATGACGACAGCTCGAAATCAACATATTCTCCTTCAAGTACTTGTCCGGTTTGCGCATTGAATATGTCAACCACCCCGCCGGTAGAACTACCTTGCGACGTTCCGGGTGCACGGTGCATCTTCGCAGCTATCCTCTTCATTGTTTCGCGTGCTTGTTCTTCATTCAAAGCCTCGATGTCCACCTCCAGGTCCGTGTCTACCACGCAAATCCCATCTCCTTCAGGCTTGAAGCCATCTACAAGGAAACGAAACTCCTCGCGCTTACCACCAACTCCTCGACCACCGTCTACAACCAAGACCTCGCCATTCGTCAATGTCGTAAAGTTGGACCTAAGATGCTCCTCAAGTAGCGATTTCCAGTCCTCTGGGTCATAACCAGCTTCGAGCGGCCGTAGCTTTACAAAAGTGCCCTTGGGCAGCTGTTTGGCATGCACTGTAATCTTTGTGGATGCAGCACCGTTGTTTTCGAGCGGTGCTGCTCCGTTCGACATGGCCGCATCCACTTCTTCCTGGCCATTTGGACTAGCATCTCTCGACGGCTCGGCAGATTGTGTCTGGATTCCCAACGCCTCCTTCAGGAAACTGCTCAACACGATCTCGCCCTCTTCTGCAGAGAACTCGCGTATCCCTGCATGTACAACTCTGCCATTTTCCGGGTTCACGAGTCGAAAGGTAAGTGGGTGGGGTAGCTGTTGGAAGCGATCCTGCGTCTGTTGTCTTGCGTAGCGTTCGGCGTTGAACGTGTACGGGTTGAAGGGATCGAAAGCGGTGATGTGCGGTCGATTTTCGTCGACGTGAACAACGGGCGCCGCAGCGAGAAGCTGCTCCAACGCTGATGGTGGAAGGAGAAGTTTGTCGCCCGGTAGCGTGCTTCGAGATACGTGCGCGAGTTCGTATTGAGCGGACCACTTCAGCTCTGCTGGTTCTGCTTCCGAATCCATGGTAGATGTGTCTTACCTGCGGAGAATCGAAGGTAGGGACTGTGGTGACAAACGCATGAAGGATCGCAGTTGTTGTGCTGGAAGCGTGAAATGGCTGACATATACGCCTCTCTACTCGAAGCTTCGGTGAATGCCTGGCGTCATTGCGCTTCCTTTCCGCGCGTCGGCCCGTTAGGCTTATCGATAGCGCTCGCGCCTCGCGTGGTAACGCGTGAAGGTACCGCCACCGTTGAACGGAGAAAACTACCCATTTTCCCCAATCCTAGTCTCTCTCTATATTCGGCCTGGGATCTTGGGCGTCCGGTGAGCAACCTTTCCCCTGGTGCATTGGCGAGAGGCGATCACTAGCCTTCCGTAGATACTCCGATAGCTATTGCCAAGGGCATCGCAACATGCAACCTCTAATGCGCGTGGAAATTCAAGTAATCAAAGTTTGCAAGTCTTTTCGCTATTCAGCAAGAGATCCTTGGCTCTGCCCGGGCACTATCTTAAGGAGCTCTGGCACCATCTATACTAAGACTCCTGTTGAGTTTCGATATGTCGATTCATGCTCGTAACCGGCCAACGTGGGGCAATTACCCCGGTGGCTTCCAGCGTCGCGTCGCATGCTTGACATCTCGCAGCGACTGTTTTAGCCTGTTTCCACAGTCCACGACCAAGACCTCCGGCGCGGCCTTGGCTGCAAGACGTGTTCCAATCTATGCTTCATCGCGGCCTGATCTTGCAGGAAGCTTTGAGTTGCGTACTACACCGGCCTTGGCAGGGTCTCCATTTGCGATCGCCGCAGGGAGCGAGCCATCGGCGGTATCCCACGCCTACGCAAACCCCATCTTCTGCAGCGTCTCAACCTCGATTAGTCTTTCCTTTTGCTCATCCAACACACACCTGCAGTGTCAGATCAGTGGCACGTGCCTGTCTGGCCTGCCGTCTTGCATTGTGATAAAGAATCGGTGAGTACCCATCTAACCTCTGGCCAAATTTCTCTGGTTGTATTCCTCGAGCATTCGCCATGGGCCCTTCTACTTTCTGTGACGACCTCCCTACCTCCCTGGCGGACTTACTTTCCAACACCTTGATCCTGCGCCAAACTGCTCCCTACCTGCCAATATCTGCCCTTCGTAACCTGTCGCGAACCTGCAAGTCTCTACATCATGCCGTCTTCCAGTCGCCAGAAGCCTTCCGCTACCTGGACCTCTCCCCTGTAAAGTCTGCTATTGTGCCTTTCGATGGACCTCTTGATGTCGGTGGTGTCAGTTTTCGCGCTGAGCGAATGGATGAAGCCCTCACAGAAGACGATTTCTACAGCGGTCCTCTACGCCACATCTTCAACAGGCTGGAGAAGCTCCATGTTCTGCGTAACGTACATACACTTGTCCTAGACGGACTCAGCGTGACAGCAGAGTTGGTCAAAGAATTGCTTACGGAAGAACGATTCAACGTTCGTATACTTTCTATTCGCGAAGCTAAGCACATGAACGAGCGCAAGCTTCAGCAATACCTCCAATATGCGGTTCGACCATCAAGGCCCGCGGGCACACCTCGAGTCAAAGGCATCTACATCTTTGGACCCCGCGACCGAACACCGCGTCCTGCATCGCCCGTGACGAGAAAACTATCCGCAGACATTCCTAGAGGCGTGACGACTTCACAAGGGGCGCAGATTGGGGCACAATGGAACGAGAAATCGCAACAAGCCTTGGACGCTGTACTAGCGCAGACGGAGGACAAATGGTATCAATCTTCTGGCAAAATCATACCAAAGCGGCCGTCCCCGGAATGGGCAGAAATACTCCAAGCATGCGAAGGCATCATTGCTTTCGATGCTGTTCTGTGCAGAGGACCACGACATGACCCGAGCAAAGCATATGTTAGGGATGCAACTGCGAGTGGAGCGACTCATCCATCCTCTTTCCTGCGGCCTACAATCGCAACTGTCGCACTTGGCCCATCGGGCTGCGAGACATGTCACTCGTCTCCAGAAGGACCAGCAGTTTTCGGCGACTCAAGCCCATCACATCATCCATTACTCAGCCCGGTACCGCTGCATGGCTCCTCTGTGCGTGCTGCCCAGATACCGCATACTCTCGACGGTTCTGCGCCACCGCCTCTGATAGTGCGATGCGAGGACTGCCTCAAGGGACGCTGGTGCGAAAGATGTCACAAATGGTGGGACGAGGATTGTTATACTGGATCCGTTACCGCCCAACGTACGGAACTACAGCAGACCGAGCTTACTGAGAGCTTGAAACCTGATGGGACTAGTCAACTGCTCCCAAAGCAAACGATCAAGGTACATATGGGCCTCTGCGTGGAACACTGCCTCCGTGAAGAAATGATGGCCGGAGCCGGTAGCGACGGGATGTGGGGATGATGGACCTACCTTGGCGCGCGAGAAGCGATGCTACCTTGAGGCCGTTACGATGTAGTTGGATTCCGGAAACCAGTCTTACCCAGACTGGCCGTGGAGCCTGGCTATTGGATAATTGCACCTGGAACTGTCACTTGCGCGCCAAGGTAAGTGCTCGATCTTGAATCAAGAAATAGGCTAACGTGAATTGCTGCAGGTTATCGGTGTAAGACGTGATTGTTTTGGCTGTGGCCATACGTGCATAAGCTGTAAAGAGCTTTTTATTCGGACTTGCAAGAAATGCAACAATGAGTATTGTCGTGAAGACAACGATGCGTCTTCCGACACCATGGTCAGTACAATACAACGAGAGGTATAACCTGCTGCTAACGCTCAGACAGTGTGACTGGTGCAACTATACGTCAAGACGAACCAGGGAGATGTACTGAACTTGATGTCTGAGGCTTGGAAAGAGCCTGGATACCTCCCGTGGCTACGGACATGACATTGCTTGCAAATACAGCAAATGTCGGTTTTCTGATGTATGAATGATGACTCTCCTCTTAGAATTAGTGTTAGATACCCCTCTCAAACCCATGAACAAGCATTTCTAAACATATTTTGTCAAGTTCACGAACAATTATCCCTCCTGTTGTGTGTTTGCATTTTAAGTACATGCAATAGTGCCATGTGGTTTCGTCGCCTTCATGTTGCTGCCAAGCCCCGGCGGCTTGTGAATGGCCAACGCCGATGCACACGATGACATGTGGCTGCCACTTTGAGCCGCAACATTGCAAACAAACAATCTTTCCTCCAACTTCAGCGAGCGAGTCCTCGATTCCCAATACCAAAGCCCACTCTTCCCCGCGATCTGTCCTTTCCACCCAAGAGTCCCCGGTGACGTCGTCTTCAGCTCCACGTACCATCTTGACCCCAAACCACCTCCGTTAGACCTCCGCCAGGCACCAGCACTGCGAACCCCCCACAGCCAGATCACCACAGCTTGAAACCTACTTCCGATCACGGTACTACACGCAATTGCATATTGAACAATGGCGCAATATGGCTACGGACAGAACCCTCAATACGGCGCAGGAAATGCGCAAAACCTCCAATTCTACCCATCTTCATTCTCCAATCAGCCAGTATCTGGACATTCTACACCGTTCCAGGCAAACTATGGCGCGCCGGCAAGTCAAGCATACCCCGCACAGTATGGCGCGGGGTTCGCTGCACCGGGTGTGAGTGGACAGATGGGCATGGGCAGTTCAGGGCTACGGACAGGATGGCTGGCAGCTTTTGGTACTGAGGGGTAAGTTGCGAGGATGTGTTTGTGTAACAATCGCTGACTTGTAGCAGATATGATGGAGAACCGCCGCTACGTACGCAACACCGACCTCACGATCGCATTCGACGAGCTGACATTGTGTAGTGGAAGAATTGGGAGTGAATTTCAGACATATACAAATGAAGGTCGGTTCTGAACCATGTCCTGTGCTATCTACAGCTGACGATGAATAAGACATTGGCCGTTCTGAACCCATTTGGTCGTATCGATCAGCACATCATGGACGACAGCGACGTAGCAGGTCCCATACTTTTCTTCTTGATTTTCGGCACATCATTACTGGTACGAAGACAACAGAAATTCAGGGAAACATGAGCTGACAGGGTGCAGTTGTCCGGCAAGCTTCATTTTGGTTACATCTATGGTAAGCCAAACAACCGTTCGAAGAGAACAATGGCTGACTGAAACAGGCCTGGCATTCGTCGGCACAATCCTACTTCACCAGATCCTCTCGCTCATGTCTCCACCTGTCAACGCGGTTGAGGCAACCCCTGGAGACCACGGTCACCCGCATGGCTCACACCTCGGCTCCTCGTTGACATTCCCACGATCGGCTTCGGTGCTTGGATACTGTCTGCTTCCTCTCGTACTGGTATCGATGTTTGGAATCATTGTACCACTTGACGGGCTGTTTGGATATCTTCTGACAAGCTTGGCTATCACATGGTGTTCTTACAGCTCCAGTTCGATGTTCACTGTTGTTGGTAAGTTGAGACTTCTGACAGGGTTGTTACAGAGACTAACACACTTCGCAGGGCGCATGACTTCGATGCGAGGCTTGGTAGCATACCCCATGGTTCTTTTCTATGGTAGTTTTGGTATCATGGCCATCTTCAGCTCTCGGGGGACTGGCCAGTTGGCGGCAAAGGCGGCAGGATCATAGAGGACTACAGTCGGAGAGCAACACAAGACGCTTTTGGACTGGAATACAACAAAATGTAACAGACATACTTACAATATCAAGAATATAACTGAAGACAAATCCAAATATCGCTTCCAAATCATCTCTCACTGCGCTGAAATATCTGGCCAATCGGAGTGTAGCTGACCTGCTTAGAGCGATGACGACGAGGACCCTGCACGAAATTGTTTCTCCCGATAAACTCCGCCACCCGTTCCATCTTCTTCAGCCCTATATACCCTTGCTTGCCTCTGGTTTTCGCAGCCATAATTCCTCTTCTACACGATACTTCATAATGGGTTGGTTTTGGGCAGACACCGCACCCGCTGCACCTGCAGCACGTGTTGCGCCGCATCCTATGCCTCGAGGCAGCATGGAGCCTCCAGTATGTTTTGTGCCACTCCACATGCGCATGCGCCTCTAACAACATCGCAGCCAGAATGTCCAATGCACAAGAAACCTACAGCGCCCGTGGTCGCCGAAAAGAAGACACCGCAAGGCGCCTGCCCCTACGTCCCGCCTGAAAATGCCTCTACCGGCGCATCAGAGCCACCACCAAAGACCGGCTTACTCGCTCGTCTAAACCCTCTCAATAACATGTTCGCCGAACTCTCAAACGAGCGAGCTGACACGCAATCCGTAAACCTCCCTCTCGAGCGCGAAACCTCTACGATTCCCAAAGGTGACGGTTCACTCTGGGAGTACCCCTCACCCCAGCAAATGTACAACGCCATGCTACGCAAAGGCTACACCGACACGGACATCACAGCCGTTGAGTCCATGGTTGGCGTACACAACTTTCTCAACGAGGGCGCCTGGGCGGAGATCATGGGCTGGGAGCGACGCTTCTCCCGCGGTCTAGTAGAAGGCTATGAGATTTGCAAAAAGGGCGAAGACGTCGCAAACTTTATGCTCGGCACACACGACGACCCCTTTGACACAACAACCTGGGACCAAAAGGATGTCCAACCCCCGAAACTCCTTCGTTTTACCGGTCGCCCTACGGAACCGACGCCGAAATCTCAAATACTGCAGTGGCTCGGTTACGTTATGCCGGAAAAGTTTGGCACGGCGCCCCCGTTTGATCGCCATGATTGGTTCGTCGAACGCTGCAACGAGAAAGGGTGCAAGGAAATTAGATACGTGATTGATTACTACGAGGGTGAGCCCGAACCTACGGGCGAGCCAGTCTTCTTCCTCGACGTTAGGCCGGCAGTTGATGGCCCAACAAGTGCGGCGGAGAGGTTGATCAGAACGGGCACAGATGTCTGGTGGAGGGCGTCCGGGGGTGTGGCGAGAGAGTTGAGGAAGTTGGAGGCGGCAAAGAAGCAGAAGGAAGAGGAGCTGGCTGCTAAGAGCAGGCAGTACAATTAGGATGACGGTATCGGCACGTGTATATGAAGCATTGCGCGGCGTTTGTTGGTTTGGATTTCTGTATAACTGGTTTGTACGACATACGGACTTTGCTGATGATTTGGATGGGGGGTTCACTTTTGTGGTTCTGTCGTTACACTGGTACATTTCTCTACTCCAGATTTTCTACTGTAGTTTTCCTTCACAGTATTTATTGATGCGTAAACACGACATGAAGCCTTGCTACCTATGCACTCCAATAAACGTCCTCTCACCCCGATACATATGAATGCTTCGACTGAAATGATCCTCATCTTCTTCTTCCTCTTTAATCCACACACCATCTACAAGTTTCGCTCTCACCATCTTCTCCTCACCCTCATCCCCTTCTCCAGGCAATGTCCCCCCGTCTCTCGTCTTCCCTTCCGCCATTCTGACCCCAACCGCCTCGACCACCGTATCGAAACCTTGTTCCACATCCTCCTCACCCCATGGCAGTGCCTCAACATCAATCTGCTTCTCCTTGCCCAGCAAGCACATGACAATGACCATGGCACCTGCTTTGGACATGACCTGGTTATGCTGTTTACACGCATCATCGTTACAGCATTCATTGCATCCCTCAAGACAATGACAGGACGTGAGTCGTTGACACGCTTGATTGAGCAATGTATCGATGAACTCAAATGCTTTGGTGCTGATGCCAGAACCGCTCGCCCCGCCTTTTGCATCGTAAAACGTCAACCGAGCAGGTCGCTTCCTCGTTGATTCCTTTTGCAAAAACTCCTTCTCGGGGACTTTGCATTCCGTGCGTACATCTCCTGGCATGCTGATGACGAAGTTGGGCATAAGGGACAACACGGCGTGTTCAGCGGCGTGGATGCCCGCTGCGATGTTCAGACGTCGCGACTTCAAGATATCCATTGCAGATTTCGGCACGTCAAGCCACATGCCCTTGCTAAACAAAATGATGGGTGGGTTGTCGACCTGAACGGCATCAAGAATACGGCGCTTCTTGTCAATCTTGAAGAAGCCATAGACGACTTGTTGAATCTTAATGGGGCCGTAGAAAGCTTTGCATCGGGACCCGGGGATGCGGCGGATGGCTTCTGTTTCAACGGGGTCAATGTCTGTATAATCACGTTGCTGCGTTGTCCAGTCTACTTTTACGTATTCGACCTTTGCAAGCATACGCTCTTGGGAGAATTCCTTAACGAGATAGGTGTTTCCTTGGTGTAGGAATATGCCGCCGTCGTAGAGAGTGAAGAAGGCGCGACTAGCTTCCAGTTCTTCGAGTACTGTGTTCTTGCCGTGTGTGATATCGATGATGGCGAAATGGTCCTCTTCGGTATCGCGAATTGCAACTGTACGAGATGGCTGAGGGAGGAAACGGGAATTCACGTGATAGAAGCCCTCCTTGTCGCATCGCATGCGTTCTTTGGCGATTTTGGGAAGGAGAGGGCCAAAGTAGGTAGTGTCGGCTTCGACATTGATAGGCATCTCGAACGCAGCGCATTGCACGTGGCCTTCCAGAACAAGCATGTTCGTCAAGTCGACTTGGAGTGCGCAATTAGGTTTAGTGAAGATTTCATCTGGATTCGACATGTAGTACTGGTCAGTGGGGAAGCAGTCGCCGACCAGAACAGATAGCGAATCTCTGTTTCTCCTACCGGCACGACCACTCTGTTGACGGAGGTTGGCGATGGTGTAGGGAAAGCCGACTGTAATGACAGCATCTAAGGAGCCGATATCGACACCGAGTTCTAGAGCGCTGGTAGATACGATACCACAGAGCTTGCCGTCAAACATTTCTCGCTCAATTTCTCTTCTGTCTTGCGGCGTATACCCACCTCGATACGACATAACCCGAGGGATAACCTCCGGTCGCTCCAGGTTGGTTAGTTCGGATTTAACAGCAGAAATCAACGCTTCACATTGCTTGCGTACACGGCAGAATGCAATAGCTCTTATGCCTCTCAACATCAATTGACAGAACAGCTTTGCTGTCTCAGCCATGCAATCACCACGTCCAGAAGTAGGGTCGCCAGGATCTTTAAAAGGCGTGTTCCAACATAAGAACTCTTTACGTCCGGAAGGGGAACCGTCGAAGTCTGTCAACTTGACATTGTCAACACCAAAGATGGTCTTCATATGCTCTTCGGGGTTTGCGACTGTAGCTGAGCAGGAAATGAATTTGACGTGACGATTTCCGACAGCAGCGCATATCCTTCGTAGACGGCGCATGATAAACGCCATATGTGCCCCGAACAGTCCGTTGTAAACGTGCAGCTCATCCACCACGACGAACCGCAGATTCTGAAGGTATGTCCGCCAGGCATCTTCTTGCGGCAAAATCGTAATGTGCAGCATATCGGGATTTGTGAAAATAATACGTGCTTCGTCACGAATATAATTGCGTTCGCTCATGGGCGTGTCTCCATCAAACGTCTCGACTAAAACTTCTTCGAAGCCCGGCATGAATCGTAAAAGCTCCTTCATACTCTTTCTCTGATCCTGCGCCAGCGCTTTTGTTGGAAAGATGTACATAGCTCTTGTGCTTGGTTCTTGTTCTAGTTGGTGTAGAACAGGGATCTGGTAGATCAGTGATTTACCAGAGCTGGTCGAAGTTGATACTATGACGTTGTGCCCGTCGTAGAGATTGTTTATTGCCTCCGCTTGGTGGGCATAAAGCTGAGTGATGTTTTTCGTGTTATACAGCGCGTTGACAAGATTCTGTGACATGGCGAAGTTCAAGTCGCCATAAACAGGTTCCTGGGGGTCGAAGACACGGTGACCATCCGGCACAATCTGACCAGTATACCACTCAAGTGTTTTGATCTCATTCAGGATGTCGGGAATAGGCTTCCGCTCGGCTGGTATGGAGGCTGGTAGCAGCGATCGATCTGGGCCGGGCGTGGAATGTCGGCTCTCTGTCGGCACAGGAACGAAAGCCTCTGAAACTTTCTTGATCTTCTCTACCGCATCAACACCTTCCTCAACGCATTGGTTCAGGAATGCGTTGACTGCCGATGTGAACTTGAGATTCCTCTTCTCAATCAAATTCATCATCTGCTTCTGGCTGTACACGGGCATCTTGAGTTCCTCGTTCCGCAGTTTCGTCGTGGCCTTCGTAGGCTCCCCAGTCTTCTTGTGTTGTACATGGCGCTTCAAGTCGCCATCGATAAATTCAAATAGCAGCACCTCCTTATGCTCACCCTTGTCCGGTTCCGGCCCAAGTATCGCAAAGTCCGTCGTTGATCTCCCGTGAAGGTTGTCTTCTGCACCCATGACATTGATTAGGAGCATTGCTTCATCGACATAGGCAAAGTTGATGGCCTTCGGGACCAATGCCGTAATTTGCGCCACATCTTCAACCACTAGCTCTCGCTGTATGTTGGCTTCGACTGTGCTTCTTAGGTTTTCAAGTGTGGTCGCAAGGTGTTTGCGTGTGCATAGAAACGTGTAAACAAGATTCACCGCGCGATGCACCTGAGCCAGCTTCGTGAAATGCTCAGGCCACGGTATCGACGTTTCAACGAATGTGGATGAGTTGTTGCGCGTGAGAGACGGTCTGCCAGCACCACTCTTCTTCAGCGCACGTCGTGGCTTCTTTCCTCCATCATGCGCCTTTGTGGGTACGCTCGTAGTCGTCGTCGTCGTCGTCTCAATGGGGTCAGGTTGGTTGGGGTCGATCAGCGAGCCGTCGGGTCCAACGATCCTGTGAGCCTCGCTCGGCCCCTCGCCTTCTGCAGCCGATGCTACTGGTTGTGTTTCCTCGTCCGCGCGGGTTTTCCGTTTTCGCTTTCGCACGGTCTGATCCGAGACGGTGGCGGCCTTCATTCGAGGCATCTTGGGGGCATTGTAGTTGTTCTGGACGCGACGTCGGCAGGGAGCTTTGTCTTCACAATCAATGACGCAATGGCGCGAGGAATGGCCAACCTCGCACCATGCGGAAACTCGGTCCAACTGTTCATTTACCTGTCAGAGATTATACAGGCACGTTCATGACTATGTATTTCTCTACGCAAGTGTTCTGTACGACTGCTTGCAAAAAGACGCGACTTTCGCGTTCCGAGGCTGCGCGTTGTCACGCTCTCACGTGCAGCGTAGTCCTGCCCCATCTTCATTTCAGGTCAAGCTCACCACAATGCACGGCAAACAATTTGAAGAAATATAAGCACGTTTTTATTCGAGAGTATGGAAAGAGTCCATGATGTATTAGCACACCATTCCCAGGGTATATGGCAATGAACTCAGCATCCCGCCCATATTCCACCACCCAAGCAGCCACTTGTGAATGTACATAAAGGTATCGAACATGAAGCACTCCTCGCTAGAATGCATGATATCAGAAAAGACAGACCTGAACACAAAATCGACAGACAGTAAGCCGTTATATCGTGAATGAAAGATGCCATCGCTCGCCAGAAAAAACATATCGTCTCATCGAACCCTGTGACGCCTAGGTATAGGATACAGATGGTCCCTTTCCATCTGCTATGCTCATAGGCCACCTGCGCCAGGTAGCAGCATCTCAATGCACTTGGTCAACAAATTGCTTGCTTCGTGCAGCAACTCCCACCGCGTCTTCTTGAACATGTCTCTCATAATGATCAACAGTCCCAGGCAAGCATTGCGGTTAGATGTCTTGCTCAAGTCCTCTGGCGATCTAACGCCGCCCACACGGTTGAGGTAGAGCACCATGTCCCTGACTTTGTCGTCATAGCTTGGAAGTTGGTACGGCTCCTTGACTGGGCCATCAAGCGCGAATCCGTACGACCAAACAATCAACGTGGCAAAGTACAGCACCCATGGCCGATTAAGAAGGTAATCATCGCGCGCCGAGTAGGAGAAACCAGCACTAGATGGAGTGTTGGGATTCAAACTGTGGTCCCCTGCGACCATGACGTTGGAAAGAAACCGCAGCGCATAGAAAGTGGCGTCCCGGGCCCGGGCGGTGGGGGCCCACATCTCCTTCATGCGGCGCTGTGCGCCATTGTAGTCCTGCGGGGTTATCGACCTCCCAAGTAGTCTGGGAGCGCCTGCATAGATCTGACAATCGACGATATCGACGTGCATGGCCATATGCGCCAAATGATGGAGGACAGTCCGAGATTCGAAAACGTTGTCGTCATCGACACCATGAGAGTATCCGTATGAGTTCGAAGCAGGGCGGTCCTCCGACCGGTTCAGTGAGCTGTCGAAATCTTGCTTCCAGAAGTCGAAAGCACGGGTTAGCGATCCTCGCCACTTGTCGCGTCCACCTAGTGCAGTCGTTACACCAAGCGAGCTGACTTGCAAATCCCGCTGGTTCATGTGCCATGAAACGCTCAGCAAACCTGCCATCAGTATTGTGCGCCCGAAGGAATTGGTCCGTACGGTCTGTCCATTCAGCGTCTTCTTAAGACCATCAAGGAAGGACATTGGTTTGATGCCGTTGGAAGTCAAGGATTGTTCAACCCGACCCACTTCGGAACTACTCGTTGCAGACCAGAGGGCTTCGTCGCATGGCAGTGGAAGACGCATCTCGTGAGCAACCATGACAGCGCTGTGGCCAAACATAGTAGCGTGGATGCTGTCCATAACAAAAGCCGCAAATGCCGCCCTCCTAGTAGCCTCATTCGTGATCCAATGGTTCCACCATTCGTCAGGCGTGTTTGCTCCGCCAATGCCATTACTCTTTCCATCTTTGACGCTAGGAGGCGAGTCCATGGCTGACCGTCCGATCAACGAGCTTCCACGCCTCATAAGCGTTAGTGTTGTGGCATGGTGGATGTGTGCTCGTTCATGCAACGGGCGTGTAGAGTACATCTTCTCGAATACTTCGAGAAGGAGCAGACCCTGGAAGATCCACAACTTGGCAGGTGGGCGGAAGTCAGCGTCCATGAAAAGTTCCCAACGCAAGTGCCACGCCAAGAAATTGGCCAGCTGGGCGCAAGCCTGTGTCGTCTCTTGACCATAGTTTTTTTCTAAACAAGAGGCTCCGAGGCACATGATGGCGAGTAATAGGAGCTCAGGACAAGTGCTTGCGTTGAAGGTTGGCTTGTGGAGGATTGGCAGCTGCGGGTGGAAGTGAACCCAGTATGAGCTAATGTATGTTTGCATCATGTGAAGACTCAGCACATGGCGGCTGTCGTCTTTATCGCCCTCCATGATATCCTCCTTCTGCTTCTTGACTGGTGCATGGTCTGTTTCGTTAAAGCGCAGGTGAATAAGGTCAAGGAGGTCTTTCCGCTTGTCTTCAGACAGGGCAGATTCTGGAAGCGTAGTATCTAGTATGCTGTGAACAGCCATTGGATGTGCAGGTGGTGCAGGGTTGTTCAGGTAGCCGGCGACTGAGGGGTCATAGTTAAAATACGGGGCTTGAAGTCCAATTTGGGATGACGCACCAGCTACGGGGTTTATTCCGCCCGGATAATCCATGGGCGATGCGCCTCCTGGGTTGAACTGATTGTCATTGAAGAGCCAGGCAGCGAAGTCGTCTGCCATGGCGAATGGTGAGCGACTGTACCCAGCGCCACCAAACATTGGTATGGCATAGGCAGGGTTCTGCTCCATTATGGCGTCAGAGACGTTCTGCATTCTGTTGTCTATCTGGCCAGTGGACTCGACACCGTTCATGGGCGTCTGACCAGAAGTGCCATTGTAGAACTGGTTCTCTTGTTCTCGAGAAACTGGGGTGCCGGCTGATTGTGGATACTCTGGTGGGGGTAAGGAGGAGAAGGGAGGGAAGTTTTGTTGTGATTGATACGCACTTGCGCTGTTTTGATAACCAGTCGAGGAAGCGGAGGGAGTATACTGGGATGGTGTAACGGCAGAGTTGAAAGGTGAGCTCGAGCCATACGAGCTTATGTTTGAAGTCTGCGCGCGTAGATCGGGCCGGGTGAAGTTCCCATTACCCACATGTGGGGAGTTGTGGAGAGACGTGCGACGTCCACTATAGTTGCCCAAAGCGGCCGGACGTGGTGGGGGTGCAAAGTTCCCGGTGGCCTGGGGCTGCATATCGTAGGGCTTAGCCTCTGAGCCACTACGGTAGGTATCGTCGCTCCCTGTTCTTTGTAGCGAGTCTTGTCTGCTGAGAGTGGTGGTGGAGCCGGGAGAGTGGAAGTTTGGCGGCGACATTTGGTTGCCAGGGCCAGCGTTGGAGGCACCCGAGGGCGGAGAATGCATGCCGTGCGGGCCTTGGGTCTTGATGCCATGTGGTTTTGGAGGCGGTGCATTCTTGCCACCCAGTGCAGCTGTTACAATAGGATTCAGGTTGTGCATGTTGAAGGTATCCTTGCGCAGCAGTTGCGAGCCTCGTGCCGTGTGTCTCTCCTTGTGGCGCGCGCATAGGTCTTGCCGAACAAAGGATCGGTGGCAATCGGGAAAGTCGCAGTGGTAGATTTGCTTGGGATTGTCTATGCAATGTCAGCCTCGCTCTACCAGCTCTGTCGAGGCATGTTGAAAGTGCTGCACTCACGGTTCAACTGGTGGCGGTACAGATGCTCTGCGCGGGAGTAGCTCTTTCCACAGCCCTCGTGCGGGCACTCGAACTTCTTATCGAGGCCCTTTCTGCTGCGCCTTCGCTTCCTCGAGGAGCCATGGCCGTCGCCCTCAGCATCGCCAGTGTCGCCGTCTTCGTCTCTGTCGCGTCGACGGCCACGGGCGTCGCCACTATCTGGCGATGCGGGGGTTGGAGGCTCGTTTGCAGTGCCTGCAGTCGTGTCCATCTTGTCTCGGAACTGCGTCTGGATCTTGCCTAAATCCGACGCGTGCGCAGCATGCATAGACAGGACTTGCGCCGTCATTGCCAGTGGGAGACGGAATGCAAATGTCGTGTGTCGCGACCTTGTCTCGGTGCGCGTCTCTGGGGTCGAAGGTCGGGGTTGTGTAAATGGTGTTGATGTTAGTCTAGAGGCGCTCGGCGATGGGCGTGCATGCTGCTTTGGGAATCACACGGCAGGCGAGATGCTGGGGCGGGCAAAAAGGGACGGCGTGGGTTGCCCAGATGCAAATCGGCAGGATCCTGGGCGATGACTTGCAGGTCGATGTCGGAGAGCCTCTGAGCCTCTTAGAGTGGAGGCGCGTGTGTCGTGTGGTGTAGTGTCGTGGAGAGAACCCTGGCCTGGGGACGTGGGGAAGAACGACCGTCGTGGGAGCAAGCAAGACGGGAGCGGGCACCCTGGTGGGAATGCAATGGAGTGGACAAGGCCGGTGCCGACTTGTGACTTGTGACTTGTGACGAACGACAAACCACCAGCGATCGGGACTTGTAGTCGTGAGCCGAGAGACGCTTACGCTGGCCTACGCCTGATGTCCGCAGTAGCCGCGATAAGAACCAAGATGCTGTGGCAGTGGATAATGTCGTCTGCACTGTGCTCCAGCCTTCCTGGTAGGCAGTGAGGGGTAGGCAGCCAACTTTGGAATCTTCCGACGAAACCCAGGCTCAGCCGTCAGCAATTAACTTTCATCCACGGCGGCTGTGATATAATGCTCGCGCCCACCTGCAGCCCAGCCTGAGCATCAGAGTGTGGAGAAGCGACAGCCCTCGGTGGCGTGGGATGGGCGACCGCGGGCGCGTGGGGGCTGCTCAAGCACATTTAGCTGATGTGCCCTTCTCCATGGCCGTCACCACTTCTCGTAAACCCGCCCTCTCTTTGGCTGGACTATCGAACCGTCGATATCAGCATGTGCCTGTTCATGCACCCTATGCACGGAGCTGCACAAGATTCTGCACCAAGCAGCTTTGGACACTTTTTCATTCCAGACCTTGTCCGAAAAGTCATCCTTCCGACATCTGATACTGCTCATTCCTTCCGTACCCATAGACCATGAGTCACGGTCCTCACTCACTCACTCTACCATCGCTCAGCCCAACCACTCCTTCACCATGGCCCAACAAACAACTAATTTCCACACCTCATCACACGCGCGCCACACACGGCCATTGTGCCATTCGCCAGCATTTACCCAGGTGCTAGCGTAAACTCGGCCCGTCGGCCTCCAATTGATACTTGCATGCTGGGCGCCCTACCCCAGGATCTTCTTGCCGCGCAGCGCGACAAGAGACGCATCTACGGACGGGACCCGCCAATGAGGAGCGGGCCGGGAGTCACCCTATGCTTTTGCGGCAATCGGAGCTCGGCGAGCAGCTCGTCCAACGCCTGCCCACATTTGATGTTTGTCAATTTATACATCACTCTACTTGCGTATGATCAAGACAGCAAATGGTTGTTGTACAACACGACAACGTGGATGAGTGATGCCTGCCTTCTGCGAAAGCCGCCCCCAACCACCGACTGGACCAAGGCTCTGTACAGATAAAATTTCCCTTCCTTGCCACTGAGGTGCCAGCCACCACGGAGAATATACAGCATAGCATAGCATTGCTTTTGTTCCTCCTCCACGTTTCAAGGCAACAGTATCTTTCCACTTTCGATCAGTACCAGCATTGACCCTGTCTATACAAGTCTCATGGGCAGAGATAAGGCGCCCCGCGGGAACTATAGACGCCGCTACTTGAGCTACTGTCCTGGTTGGTTTTTAAGATATAGTCTTGAGGGAGCCACTGTGCATCTCTTTGTTAATGATGCACCGCCATTACGCATCGTTTGGTCCCAACTATCATCAGGCACCGATGTGACGTATCATGAAGTAATGCGGCGCCTCTTACGAAGGAGCCCGTGTTCCGGAAGTCATCTCCGGTTCTAGAAAAGTTACCCTGAAGGTATATACTTGCAATATTCTGCAAGTATTACATCAGTAGTGACAGCGAATACCTGGGATCCCTCTTTTTGCGCGAGGATACGATTCAGAAGAAACAAATCTCTTCGTACATGTCATGTCGTGTGAAATTACTATGTGTAGACTGATGTCAAGAATAACATCAGTCTTTTGCCTTGCCAAGTCATTATCCCCTCCATCTCCCCCTACGCTAAAAATACAGTAGGCTGCCTCCTCGTTAATCGAGATCAGAGATAAGCTAATCCTCAGCCTTCGGTTCACCCTCTTCGGATGGCTTGGCAGCAGAGTCAGGCTTCTTCACCTGCTCCGAGTCTGCAGTGTCAGGCTTGCTGTCATCCTTGTCGGCTTCAGCATCGTCCTGCGATGATTCCTTTTCGGTATCTTGGGCGTCCTTACTGCTGGCCTCGGCTGTCTCGGTAGACGCTGGCTCTGCCGTGACATCTGTATCTTGTTTTTCTTCTTTTTCGGGCGAAGTACCCGCTACTTCCTCCTCGCTTGCGCCTTGCTTTGCTGCTTCATCTGTGGCGTCTTGGGCTTCTGGTGGACTTATCTCCGGGACCGACTCAGCCTCATCTTCATCCTCGTCTTCGTCTTCGTCTTCGTTGTCGTCGTCGTCGTCGTCTTCTTCTTCGTTGTCTTCGATGGCTGTGATATCTCCATCGCTGTCGCCATCTTCGTGTTCCTCTTCTCCTTGTGGTGATTCGAAGATTTGAGTAACAGGTCGTGATTGTAAGCTTGGACGTTCCTCTTCTTCCTCGTTCTCTTCCACAACTGTTTGCACAATAGTAGCTCCCACTGATGGCGAATGCCTGTGTCGTTTGGTTGTACCGGCTGTTGATAGCGTATGATCTGACATGCCCTCTGCTAGCGTGTTGACTGAAATCTGTGATGATGAATCGGAGGGCTCTCGCTTCATGATCAGAGGTGGCGCTGATGGCTTTGCCTCTGTTGATGGTTCAATGCCCTCTGCCTCTGGGGGGATGGTGTAGTTGTCTTCAGGTACCAGACCATATACATCGCAGACTGTCTTGTAGAAGATGTATAGCCCTGTCCGTCCCTCGACCTTCCAAAAGACCTCTCGGTGTGAGTACCATGCGTGCGCAAATATCCTATATACGCGCCTGAAGATGTTGGTCAACTGGCGCATTTGCGAATGCTGCGTCGACTGGTCGGTGCCTAGCGCGAGCCTCGAGGGAAAGTGTTTCGGTGAGGTGAGGGTATTGGCGGCCCAGTCGAGGGTGTGGCAGCAGTAGTCGATTGCGCAACACGATTTGGGAGGGTCGTGTACCGCGCACAGGTACTGCCACTCGGAAGCGCGCATCTCTGGACAGGTCAAGGAAGAACAAGGTGGGTCGTCTGCGAAGAGGGCGGTGATGATGGAGTTGACTTTCTGTATGAGGAAGCGGCAGAGCTCATATAGCCACAGAGTCCTGTCTACATTGGCTGGCGATTGTGCAATCTTGAGTGCCATGCTTCTATCCACCGGCACGGTGCCGTTGGAGCCAGCAGGATGCGTCAGGGAATTGTGGAGGGCTTTAAGGTGTTCGGTAAGTTGGAAGGCCGAGTCAATCTGCGCATCTTGTCAATCAGGCACCGTCTGTGGTGTAGTCTGCCCCAGCGCACCTCTGATAAGTCTACGAGCGGAGGTCCCTCGGCCATGTCCTCTGCCTTGGTCCCTGGCCGTATTCTCCGCTCCGCAGCATGGTCGAGGTTGCTGAACAGCTTCTGCTGCTCTGGCGACGCTGATACCGGTGAAAGCTGGTCTTCTGGAATGGGTGGTGGGCTGGGAAGACGGGGCGAAGCAGGCGACGTCATTTCGGCGCGAGATTGAGCAGTGGAAAGGGCGATTGCGAAGGCTGTAGACGTCGGTGATCACTTAGGCGGGGTGTTGTGCGTTGTTGACATCGGACATCTGGAGCTTGCCCAGGCGGATGCAGGGCAGTCGCAGGGGTCCTTCCAGCTAGTCGTTACGCGACCACGCTAACTTCATCGCGGGCTCAGTGGACCATTTTCTACATGACTCCGCCCACCTCACGACGTCATCTGCCAGCCATGGATGGAAACGTATCAGACGACGAAGTACCCAGTCTCGTTCAGCCAGAGACCAACACCAAGGTCATCCAGGATCAGGATGAACATGTTCCCACCCTTGTGGCTAGCTCAGACGATGCACCCCAGAGCAAAGTGCCTATCACCATCGTCACAGGATATCTTGGCGCAGGAAAGACGACCTTGCTGAACTACATTTTGACTGAGCAGCATGGCAAGAAGATTGCCGTCATTCTGAATGAGTTTGGTGACTGTATGCTCCCTTGCATTTCAGGCAAGACACCAACCTAACGCGCCTTAGCAATTGATATTGAGAAGCAGCTCACTGTTTCCGATGCAAACTCCACATCTGCCCAACCAGCGCCTTTTGTACCGCTAGCGAACGGCTGTATATGCTGTTCCGTCAAGGACATTGGCGTAGCCGCCATCGAGAATCTAATGGAGCAATCCGGCCTATTCGACTACATCCTCCTCGAAACGACTGGCCTAGCAGACCCTGGAAACATCGCACCCATGTTCTGGCTCGACGATGGCTTAGGCAGCAGCATCTTCCTAGACGGTATCGTCACACTCGTTGATGCAAAGAATGTCTTGAAGAGCTTAGATGAAGGACTAGGCGATGAAGAGAAGATTGAAGAGAGAAAGAAGGAAGCTCATGACGAACACGGCCCGCTATTGACAACAGCACACTTGCAGATTAGTCACGCAGATGTGATCATCATCAACAAGACCGACTTAGTCTCCGAGCAAGAACTACAACAAGTAACTGAGCGCATCCGGTCTATTAACGGCCTCGCTCGCATCAAGACAACAACTAAAAGCCAGGTTCCCCAGCTAGAAGGGTTGGTACTAGACCTTCACGCCTACGACGAAGTCACGGATGCAGACTTGAAGTTCGCAAGCAAGGGACACAGTCACCTCGATCCAACAATCACCACTTCTACTATCTCTTTTCCTGCCCTGGCACGCGACCAAGTCGACAAATTCGATTTGTTCCTCCGCACTATTTTATGGGACGAGACACTGCCTACTGAAGCTGACCATAAGCCCTTTGAGATACACCGCTTGAAGGGTCGTGTTCTAGTCAAGGACGGCAAGATACTTCTTACGCAGGGTGTAAGGGCTATTTACGACACGAACGAATTAGACGCCAAACCGGATGACGGGAGTCAGGAGTCAAAACTAGTGCTGATTGGGAGAGCTGTGGATCAAGAGGCCTTTAGACGGAGTTTGATGGCTACGTTGGGCGACTTTCATTAGAGTTCCATGATCTGATCAAGCATGTCAGGTCCTAAAGTAGCGAGCTCATCAACGTTGCCTATGGGGATGTACAATATTGTAAAAGCCATGTGACCAAAGACATGGAATTTTATGAATCGACACTAGTTCTCTGTTCTTCCAGCTAAGCTAGCTTCAAGCTCCTTCGAATAACGAATGACTCGCCTCAACTCAATAACCTCCGTCACCTACACAATACCTTTCTCATTCCCAACAACAGCGTTTTCATTTCCAGAAGAGGCATCACCCGACAGTGCCGCGAGACCAATCTCATGGTTGATCTCAGCCATTCTCTCCTGGTCCTTGAGCGCAGTGCCCTCACTACCAAAGATGGTATCCATCTCTTCGAGAGTCAATCTCTTCGTCTCAGGAACGAAGAACCAGATAAACGCTGCACCAATTGTGGTAACCATTCCAAAGAGAATGTATGTTCCGTATGTGATATTCTCGAGTAATTCCGGGGTAATCTGTCCAATGATAAAGTTGTTCATCCAGTTGGACGATCCACCAAGCGCAGTGCCGTATGGTCGTGTGGACAGAGGCCAGATTTCTGCCACGATCGTTAGATTAGAGAGCATTAAAGTGTAGACGAATGGACTTACCAGCGATCAAGATCCAAGCACAAGGTCCCCAAGAATATCCAAAGTGGATAACGAAAAGCCACACCATCACTACTGCCGCCCATCCAGCCGCACGATGGTTTGCAAAGTTGTCAATGTTCTTGGCGAGGATAACGGCGATAACGAAGTGCGAAAAAGCCATGCCAAGGGCACCGACGGCTAATACGGGTTTACGACCCAGTTTGTCAATGTACAAAACAGCTGGAATGGTGGCGATGAACATGACTATTCCAACAACTCCGGTAGCAAGGAGTGACGTGGTGGTACCAGTCAAACCGATCTGCTCGAAAATTTGCGGCGCATAGTAGAGAACCTGATCAATCGAGAGTCAGTGTATATCCTAAAAACTGTCAAAGTAAGTATTGAAATCATACGTACCGCATTGATACCGGTCCACTGTTGGAAGAACATGGTGACAGTAGCAACGATGACCCTTTTGAACATAGCCTTAGTTTTGAAAAGGGAGGCAATGGCAACAAACTGAAGTTTGAAGATATTCCATGCAGTCTGCTCTTGAAGATGGGGAAAGGCCTCAGCAACACTACGCTTCTCGAACATGGACTGAGCCTTGATTTCAAGGAACTCCAGCTCGATAAGCTCATGGTCGACAGGGAGGTTGCGAAGGGATGCAAGGTTGTTCCTAGCTTCCTCTTCGCGGTCATGGTGCATCAGCCAACGTGGGGAGAAAGGCATCCAGATCATGCCGATGATGAGAACAAAAGCCGGCACGAGCTGGAGACAGATAGGTACCAGCCACGCCGCGTTGGACTGAGTCTCCAATGTAGTGCCCCCGATGTAATTGGTTCCGTAGTTGATCCAGAAGCTGATCATGATGCCGAATGTGATGGCAAGTTGTTGTAGTGCTACAAGAGCACCGCGAACCTCACTGAAGACAGTCAGCATGTTGCTCCATTGCATTAAAGCCGGGGTTTTCAATGGCACTTACGGAGGTGCACATTCGCTGTTGTACATGGGAACGATAACAGAGAGACCACCAACTCCGATACCGCTACAAATGGTTAGCAGGAATTTGGCTAGTTTTGGTTCAGGCATTACTAACGTGATGAAGCGGCCAGCTAGAATCTCCTCATGTCCACCGGAAATTGCAGTGATCTGCACCACAACGCCGATGATGAAGATTGCTGTAGCGATCAAGATACCATACTTTCGAGAAAATGCCTCAGCAACGAAACCGGACATGACGGCTCCAAACCAAGCACCGAGTTCCAGGATAGCGGTCAGCCATCCCTTTTGTGTTGCATTATCAACATAGCCGTCAGTTTCTGTTCACTGTCAGCGCAGGTCGAGGATAGCATTCGGGAGTACATACGTGCTCCAAAAGATGGCATAGCCAAGATTCCGCTGAACATGCCCTGATTGTAACCATACAACACTCCTCCAAGACAGGCGAACAAGGCGATGAGAAACACCTTTCCATTCTTTACCAGAGCCCTAGGACCACTTGCACCCATTAGGGCTTGACGTCTCTGAAGCGCGGCATCGAAGCCTGTCGCACCGCCGCCTCCCCCAGCCATGATGATATCTGATGATCGATATGAAAGCCTCGGAAGGTTGGTAAAAGCTTCAAGTCGAAGTCGTCTGAACTGTGTCTCAGGCTACCAGAAAGCTTACATTTCTACGCTGGAGCCCCCAGGCTTATGTATGGGGTGCAGGAGCCCGCACCACCACCTGCACAATCATCCAGGACCCCAGTGACAAGACCGCAACAGTGTGGGGAAACAGGCGTCCACAATCTTTCCAGAGCATCGGTAATAAGTGCTCTTTAACCCCTTAAGCATACCAAGAGGAAACGGTCTCTGGGCAACATGTAGAACACGGCTTGAGGAATGCCAAGCCAATGCTTCAAGTACACTAATTGGACACGGAAGAGAACGTAAGCCTCCACCATCCTTGGCAATTATGTGCCGCTCCTGATGTATTCGCCGCTGATGTCGTCCTGTTGCTGTGGGCCGGGTGCCAAGGTCCATCCGAGGAGGATTTAGGCTAAATTTGTTGGCAAGACGAGATGCGTGATCGGTCATGAGTGACTTCGTAGGAGCGGAACGCCGACATCATGATGCTCCGAGAGATCCTCCTACAGTTGAAACGGCAGCTCCAGTAGCTTAGTCGCGACATAAGAGGCACAAACCAACAGTCTTGAACATATGACTGCACATCATCCGTTGGCAAATATGGAATCTAAGAACAGACTGGGTGGCTGATGGATGAGCGCTGACGCAAGCAGAGGCATGGCGCTCAAATGGTTGTAATCCACCAATACGGCTACTGGCTCCATCGAGAAGGAACACAGTGTGCGGAAAGAAACCCCCCGATAGTCGCTGGCTTCGGTACATGAGATGATCTCCTGAGGATGCAGCTGACGCTTGCAGCGATTGTGTGCTGTCGGCAACCTTCTAGCCTGTGTAGCTCGATCGGAGAACCGGGAATTTGCATTAGGGACATTACAGTAGGGATGAACAAGATACTGTCGATTACTCGTAATAGCTGTCGCGCTACCCTACTTGCAACCGGTCGATGCGGATGGGATAGTAACTGAACGACGGAAGCTAACGACGGCGGCCCGTGGGGAAGGAAAGCCCCACTCGATGGCGTGTCAGCGGAAACGCGTAGGACGCTTCGGCTGAGACACGACAATAACATCAACACCAACAATTCTCCAACGACACGTAACTGACTTTGCAAGCATGGCGGTCTCTATATTCCAGCGCAAGCGTGATCTGATCTATCTCGTCTTCTTCATCGTGCACTTGCCAGTAATGCTAGGTGGGTCTATCAACATAGATGTTTGGTTTGGAAGCCTCTCTCAGTAGCGTAGCAACTTCACATACACTAGGACTAGACGTCTTC